CATAATTTCATATTAAAGTTCAGTGATATTAAACTTAAGACTTCTGAGTTTTAAACGGTTCATGTTCTTTTGTTCTACTGGAGTTATGTTCTTTTGTTTTTTGCTTGATAAGAGGTATTTTCTTGGATCTTGAACATCTTTACACAAGGATTCTGCTTGTAGTAATATTTGACCTAGACAACTTTTTTCCCTTTTTCCGTTACTCGTGATTTATCAAATTTAGTACAATGTTAGAGGAATCTAGTCGTAGAACACAACTTGGGGCTTAAAATGTTATTATGTATTCTCCCATTCATGTCAAAATTAGGAAAGATATATCTAAGAATTACTGAGTTTTTTCATTTACTTACCATCTCATTTTTTTCTTTCTGGATTGTTGCTTAATTCAGGTACTTTGAGGGAATGGTCTAAAATTTTTTTTCCCTTTGGATGTCAAGCATTAAAAGTAAGCCATTGCATTTGCAGCAACATGGATGTCGCTGGAAGGGATCATGCGAAAATAAGCGAAATAAGCGAAATAAGCCAAAAAGAAAAAGAAAAATACCGGATGGTCTCACTCATAGCAGGAATCTAGAAAACTTAAATAAGGGACCAGGAAAAAGAATAACTATAAGAAAGAAAATATCAAAATCAACAAATAGGGCCTCACCGGTGGCACAACGGTTGAGTGCTGGGTTGCGAAGCTGCCCGCAGCCTCTGCAGTGCCGGTTCGATCCCCGGCCATTGGAGGAGGGTCCCACATGGTGCGCAGACCTCTCCTGCCGCCCGCTGCTCCCCTCAGCAGTGTACTTTGGTCCTTCTGCCTGCTCTGCTCCCCGCTCTGGCTCTGGTAAATTCTCTCACCCTCCCGCGCTTCTGACTGTACTCAGTGCTTGTATGTATAAATCAATCAATCAATCAGTCAATCAATCAATATATCTTAAAAAAAAGAGAAAAAAAATCAACAAATAACTATGAACAAGAGACTCTTTGGGGGGGTGTGGGGTGGGGGAAGGAGGGCTTGGGGTAAAAATAAGGGGGTTGTAATTGTATGGAGAATATAAAAATAAAATTTAAATTAAAAAAAAAAGAACAAGGTTCCTAGATCCACATAATTTCCACCATCACACATCACTTTCATCAGTGTCTGCCAGTTGATGATTCTGTAGTAAATGTGAATCAATGCTTTGAAGAAATAAAGAGCAAGTGGGTGAGGCAAATAAATAAATAAATAAATAAATAAAAGTTAGCCATTGCATAAGATAGTTTATCTGTTTTTCTTATAATTCAAAGGTAACACTGGATGTGTGAAATGGTTAATGAAGGCTGGTATGCTAATAACTCTCAGTTGCTAAGTTAAAAGGCATAATGTTGTTGAAGGTTGACATTAATGCTAATTTGTCCACAATGCTATGAAGATACTTGGTAGGCGGCAAAGGCATGAGCTGGAAATCTAAGCTTGGAACTGAGTCAGAATCATGAGGTTAGAAGCAACTTCTGGTCTTTTGTGGCTACATACAAAGTCACTTGATCACTCTACTGTTTTCCTTTATTACAGAAATATCACTAGTTTAATAATTACAGCTAATATTAATCAACGACTACATTCCTCTAACATTGTACTAAATTTAATAAATCACGAGTAATGGAAGAAGGGAAAAAAGTTGTCTAGGTCAAATATTACAACAAGCAGAATTGTTGATATCATCTGTACCTGGCAAAGTGCTTTTGGCATAAACTATTAGTTAATTATTGTGAACTGCTTGTAATTATGTCAGAAAAATAATACAGCATTTTGTGTGATGAGAACTATTTTCAGTTTGATTTGTGGTTAGTTACTAATGCATTAGGATATGCCTGTTTGTAAACTTTCCTGATGTCTTACGCAAGGCTAATTGATTTTTCTAGATAAAGCACCAGAGGCATTTTTGGAAAAAGCAGTTATTTCAGCTGTAGGGTCAGGAATGGACCAGTGCAGGTTTTCTGATCCCATGCAGACCGGGTAAAGGAGGAGTCCTAGAGAGTCCTCGGTGGGTTTTGCAGGTGTTTTATTGGGATTTACCCGGTACACAGCAGGCAAGGGTGCTGGGAGGCTGGGAGGCTGGCAGTCCTCCCAGCCCCCAGCAAATCTTCACTCTATCTGGGCTCTCCAGTGATCTCTGCTTCTGCTTCTTTGCTTCTCTCTCGGCTTCTACTACTACTTTCTCGGCTTCTCTTTCGGCTTTTGCTGGCGTCCCCGTGACGCCGCCCTTAAAAGCCCAGTCTCAGCCCAGGTGAATCCCATCTACCTATGCCCACACCCTATTCCAGGTGCCCGCCATCAGGCATGCATTCAGGACCGCAAGGATCCATCATTTATCCTGATGGCGGGAGTGCAGAAAAGCCTGACATTTTTCCTTTCCCTACATCAGCCTTTATCTGTATCATACAATTATAATATATTAGAAGTATTTTTGTTTTATTTTATTGGAATACTTTTATTAGAAGTATTTTTATTAAAAGATGAGAGAATAAGAGTTATTTAGTATACCCTCAAAGGGGTCACAATTCCTGGAATTGAAAATGATCCTGAAGCCTGGAGAGGCAGCCATATCTGGGGGTATGGACTGCATCTGACCTGTGATTGAGAGCCAGGTCCAGACTGGGAGTGAAAACACATGTAAAGCTGCAGTTATGAAGCTGTATTTTAGCTTTTATTGGTTCATTATCTTCAGAGTCTAAATGAAAGCTATGGATGGTATGTGTGCATGCACTTGGGCACACGTGCACATGCACATTTTGGTAGAAGATAGTGATGAGGTTGGAGAGGAATTGTTAGAGTAAGAACTGGAGGGATCTTAACTTTTTCTTCAATGTTGATTTCCCAGAGCCTTTCCTACCTCATGCTGTAATTAGCAGCTACCAGTAACATTACAGCATTAAGAAGAAACATGATTACACAGAGAGCAAGTTTCTTTCATGATTTCAGATGGTACATATGGCATAACTGGACATTTACCCCTTCTAATAGATTCTTCTTCTTTTCTTTCTCCTGTCACTTCACTTGACCAGAACTCATTCTTTGCTTTCTCCTAAAGACCCTAGGTATTTGCTCCTCAAAATGATTCCTTCTTATCTTTTATGACATGGAATCCAAAGCAGTAATCATTTCTTCTTACTGTCATAGATTGTACTAATAATGCTAGATCTCTGATGAGGCTGGTCTGGAGATATGGAAGTGAACAGATAATGTTTTTGTTTTGTTTTCTTTTTACCACTGAAGTAGACACTTTATTTTTTTAGCTTGTGTTTATCCTTTTCAAAATCAGATAGACAGAAAGCATGAAGACAACTTTTTTTTTTTTTAATTTATTTATTCAAGCACCGGGTATAGTCAGAAGCAAAGGAGGGTGAGAGAATTCACCGAGCCAGAGCGGGAAATAGAACAGGCAGACGGACTGAAGAACACTGCTGAGGGGAGCAGCGGGCGCGGCAGGAGAGGTCTGTATGCCATGTGGGACCCTCGCCAGCAGCCAGGAATTGAACCGGTGCTGCAGAGGCTGCGGGCAGCCTCGCAGCCCAGCGCTAAACCGCTGTGCCACCAGGGGAGGCCCCCTGAAGACAACTTTTTCTTGCACCTGTAGTGGATACTTTGGCAGCAGACAGTAACTGCCCCAGGTCTGTCAAATAGATGCATTCAAAACTGGTCTTAATTAATTCCTTATTATCAAGGAGTTGTAGAGAACTTTGAAAATCATATGGAAGGTATAAATGACCCAATTCTGTTACTCATAGATAAATCATTGGTGCATTTTCCCAGTCTTTTTTCTGTGTCCTATAAAATCAGCTCTCATTTAAATTGAGTAATGAATATGTTTGGGGTAGGAGAGGGTTTTCAGAGATAGTCTCAGATTATGGTTAAAATTGTTGACAAATCATCATCTGGGCATAGCTTGTAGTAAGGAACTGGGACCTCTACTGGCCTAGGTAATCAGGCAGTGATGTTAGTACTGATAGGTATCCCTGGAGGAATTAGGGCCAAAAAAATTAGGGCCATTTTGTAACTGGGTTGCTGTTGGGCTAAAGGAGGAGGTCCAGGTTTTGAACCCTGGATTTCCCACCCTTGCTTGAACTTGAAAAATCTCCGGATTTCGTTAGGATAGGTCTTTATTTAATTAGTTGTGGCTAAATTATACAGTCCCTAAAATAGCAATGTGCCCCAGTCCCTGCCACATCACAATTGACATTAATTGAAAAACTCAGTGGCACAGTGGTTGAGCGCTGGGCTGCGAAGCTGCCCGCAGCCTCTGCAGCGCAGGTTTGATCCCTGGCCACCAGCGAGGGTCCCACATGGCGAGCAGACCTCTCCTGTGGTGCCCGCTGCTCCCCTCAGCAGTGTATTTCGTCAGTCTGCCTGTTCTGCTCCCCACTCTGGCTCTGGTGAATTCTCTCGCCCTCCCCCACTTCTGACTGTACCCAGTACTTGTATAAATAAATAAATAAATATTTTAAAAAAAGGTAATTGAGAATTCATACAGAACATACACTTTTGTGTTCTTCCTATATGAAAGGGTTTTTGATTGGTTTCAGAATAATAATAATGGATCATCTTGAAAATGGAAGAGTAGTTCAGACTGGAATGACTATCCTAATTAGGGAATTCATTTGCTTTTGCTTATAACACTTGAGAGAAACAGGAGCTAGCAGGATTGGCAGTGGGTTCATATGTGAGGTATATAACCCAAATAAACCAATATTTAATAATTTCAGAATGGATTGCCATTCTGTCAGCTATACATAAAAACAGTCAGTGTTCTCTTTTGAGAAATTTACCTTGTATGATTCTGTATATATGCTGTTTCACTTTCTATAATTAATTCAGTTTGTGTATTTTTTTAAATTAGAATTTTCTAGATCATATTGTATCCTGGATGAAGCTTGACTGCTTGTTTTTTATTTATAGAAAAGTGCACTTGGAATACCAGTTTGTTGTAATAGTTCATAAATAAGAGTTATTTGTTAACTAGTATTTTTTTTTCCAGTTTCTCTTCAGCAACGGGTAGCAGAATTGGAAAAAATTAATGCAGAATATTTACGTGCACAGCAGCAGCTTGAACAAGAATTTAATCAAAAGAGAGCAAAATTTAAGGAGTTATATTTGGCTAAAGAGGGTAAGTTCATAAGTCTCCCCACCCCTATTCTGACACTATCTTGAAATGTGATGTTTCTTGGTTATACAATGTTAATTTTATCGTTTGAATTAACCTTGATTTTAATGGTACTTACATTTATAATAAAAACTTTGGAGCTGGGGTTATAAATGCACTTGAAAAGTAAGTTGAAAAAAATGTATTATTCAGATTTTTCCTTGCTTTTGACCTTAGGAATGATATTTATTATAGTAGGCTGCATATTTCCTGTGACATAGGACTTTCAGTGATCTTCGCACTTGAAAGATAGCCCTGGACAAATCAGGACTTTGCATTCTAATAATAATAGCTTTAGCCACATTATATTAAAACTAACAATTCATGGAATTTGTCCAATAAATGTTCAGTTATTTATCAACAAATGTTTAATACCTTCTATGAGGCAGACATTGTGTCTGGGTGCTGGGTTTACAGCAGAGAAAGATTCATGTGGTTCTTTAACTCATAGAACCTGACCTCTTGTATAAAAAAAAAAAAGGAAAGTATGTAAGGGAAATCCATGAGAACATTATTATGGAAGATCTAATCTAAGGAATAAGAGAAAGGGCTTACATTTTGGATATTGACTTAGAAATATATGATTATGGTTTTCACAGCTCTCTAGACCAGAGTTTCTGAAAGCCTGATTATGGAATAGCAGTATCAACATCACAGGCATCTGGGAAATTTAATGTCATTTAAATTTAAATGTTAGAAATGCAAATTTTTGGCTTCTACCTTAGACTTACTGAATTGAAACTCTGGGATTAGTGTCTGCCAGTTGGTGTTCTAAGAAGCTCTTTGGGTAGTTCAGATGCACACTGAATTTGAGAATCATTGCTGTAGTTTAGACTGTGGTTCTCAACCTTTAACATGGATAAGTCTCCTGAAGAGCTTGTTAGTTTGTTGGTATGAGGTCTGAGAATTTGCATTTCTAGTAGACTTGTAAATGCGATATTGCTAGAGACCACGGTTGAGAACCACGGCTGCAAACCATCACCAAATTTTTTAAGTTTATATATTCATAAAATATTTATACCCCTCACATGTTGACATTTAAATTTTTTATTTTAGGGCTACCCCGGTGGCGCAGCGGTTGAGCGCTGGGCCGTGAAGCTGCCCGCAGCCTCCGCAGCGCCGGTTTGATACCTGGCTGCTGGCGAGGGTCCCACATGGCCTGCAGACCTTTCCTGCCGCGCCCACTGCTCCCCTCAGCAGTGTACTTCGACAGTCTGCCTGTTCTGCTCCCCGCTCTGTCTCTGGTGAATCCTCTTACCCTCCCGCGCTTCTGACTGTGCCCAGTGCTTGTATAAAGTAAATAAATAAATCTTTAGAAAAAAAAAATTTTTTTATTTTAAATTTAAAAAGCTGTGAAAGATGTAAATTATATCATGTTGTCAATATTGACAATTTAAATGAAAACTTAATGTTTTGAAACATATACAGTGAAATCAATCACCATCTATTTCATTAAAAAATGAATAAGCTCTTTAATAGAAAGTTTACATTTTTGTTGTCTTTGTGTGGGGTTCTTTTTCATTTCCCTCAGAATTTTATTCTAAAAAGTGTTTTTTTAACATTTAAAAAAAATTTTTTTATTTTTATGTAAGAACTAGGGTACAACTCAGAGGCATGGGAGGGTGAGAGGATTCACCAGAGACAGCGCGGGGAGAAGAACAAGCAGATGGACCGAAATATACTACTGAGGGGAGCAGCGGGCGAGACAGGAGAGGTCTGCTGTGCCATGTGGGTATCTCCCTGGCTGGCCAGGAATTAAACTCGTGCTGCAGAGGCTGTAGACAGCTTCACAACACTGTGCTCAACCTGCTGCGCCACTGGGGAGGCCCTAAAAAGTATTATTTTTAGAATATAGACTTGAATATGCATTAGAATTTTACCTGTAGGGTTTGTTAAAACAAAGATGGCGGGGCTTCACATGTAGAATTTCTCCAATTCACTAGATCTGTGGGATCCTAGAATTTTCATTTCTAGCAGATGAACAGGTGAAACTAATGCTGTTGGTCAGGGACCACTCTTTGAGAACCACTGGCCTAAAGTAATATTTTGTGTTTTAAAGCCATTTAAAAAATTTAATTAGAATTCTCTGTAACAAAAATATGCATGTAAATATTCTGTATTAAGCTATAATTACACTGACTCAAAGTACATAATTGATTACACCATAAATATTTTACAAATTAAAAAACATTAACAAATACAATGATTTGAAATGCAGTTCATATGCGATACATTAAATATTATTCCCCCAAAAGTTATTTATCTGTGGATGAGTATTATTTATTTTATGAAAAAGACAGTTTTAGTTTTTTAAAAAATAGCTATAGGTGCTGTAAACCCTTGATGTCATAAATAACTGGGTGGAAATAGAAGTTTTTTTAATTGTGATTGTTAAATTGTAAATTGAGTCCCACAGTGCTCTAGCTTTAAAAATATTTTTATTCTACTAGTGACAACTCAAGTTTAGCTTCAGTCTTGTAGAAAGCAAGACCTGTCTGACCTGCTAAAAGATTTGTTAACTAGTTGTTAACAATTTATTAAAACACTGGTATTTGAAATTCAGGGTAGGTGAAAAGTCTTTTTGTTCAACAGGAAGGGGTGATTATGAAATAGGAGAATATTTAAGTACCCCTCTGTTTTATGAGAGAATATTTATGAAAGTTGAATTTCTAGATATTGATTCCTTTAAAACAATATGTGCCTATGAATCACTTAGAAAAAAATCTTTGCATACCCCCCAGAGGATAGGTGGGATCCCAGAAGAATCCCACTTTGAAGACCACTGCCCAGGAATTGTGTTATTCAGATTATAGATTACCCTGTATAGGTTATCCATTGATGGGTAACAAAATTGAGTGGATTGTGACTAGCAATTTATAAAAAAGAATAAAATGGAAAATAACAGCACATTGTACTTAGTAAGGTTAAGTAAGTATAGTTACACAATTTTTTTTGTTTCATTTACATGTATGCATATGAGCAAAGAAAATAAATTTCATATAAATGTCATATAAAATACATTTCTTACTGAGAATTGTGGTAGAAGAAATTTGAAAGCCATTGTTCTAGAGGATGGAAGGTTCTTAGGCTTTATAGAATAGAGCTCTGATTGTAGTGCGGAATGCGGTTCCCACAAACAGGAGGACTGTTTCCTCTTTCAGTTTGTTTCTTCATAGATTGATAAGGAGATGGGAAAACTGGTCTTCCTGTTTAGGTATGGTAGTATTTTGCAAGTAACTGGAGGTTGGGATGAATGAGATATGGTTTCTGTCTTTTTTTTTTTTTTTTTTTTTAATGCATCAAGAACTGGGGTGTAGGCCAGATGTGCAAAGGGTGAGAGGATTCACCAGAGATAGAGTGGGGAGTAGAACAGGCAGATCTACTGAAATATAATGCTGAGGGGAGCAGTGGTTAAGAAGGGAGTGGTCTGCTGTGCCATGTGGGTTAGCTCCCTGGCCAGGGATCCAACTCATGCTGCAGTGGCTGGTGATAGCTTGATAGCACTGGGACTTTAACCTCTGTGCCACCAGGGAGGCCCCTGGTTTCTGTCTTGAAGAAAGTACAGTATAGTAAGTATAGTATCATCGCTTGAATATATGTTAAATGTCATGAGAAATAAATTCTGTCTAGTTCTTCAGTATGTTCATTTGAATTTGTTAGCCTCTCCCTTTTAAAATTTGTTTTAACCTTGAATTGATACCACCTTAAACTCTGTGCAATAATGCTTTCTTGTCAAGAAGACTTGTAATATTTTTAATGTGTATTGAGGAGGTCTGGTTGTATTTTCTAATGGCCAATTCATACTCACTATTATACTAGCTAGTGACATCCTTTTTTTTCTCCCATCTTTCCTCCTGATAATTCTGTAGTTTGAGCATCACTCTATAACTTTATTTCAATCTTGTCTTATTTTTAGTAAATTCAAGTTAACCTTGTCAAAAATTTGTCCATATTTATTTGTTTTCTCTGTATCCAAATAAAACTGTTAGGATTTTCTTAATTTTATTTGAAATTATGGAATTGACTTTCCTGTAAAACTTTGAAATGTGAATATGACCACAAATCTTTCGTTTTTGAAATATTTTATCAATTACAGTTCCCTATCTCTGATCTAAACAGCTTGTAATGTGAATTCATCTAAAAGGCATACTTGGTATGTTAAAATTGCTATGAGTACATCTAGATACATCATCTGTATGTGTATTATTTATATCTTTACCATCTGAAGTTCTTAATGAACTTAAGCTTATCATAGAGAGTAATTGAGGTAACTTTTGCAGAAATTTCAAAAGAAATAATGTGACACTTCTTTTTGAGAATTTCAATGTCGTCTCTTAAAAAGTGCGTAGTGTGTAAATCTTTCATGTTGAGTTAGTTTGTCGGGATGTTTGCCTATATCATAATAAAAATCAAATTTGAAGATTTCCTCTAATGCAGAAACTTACATTGTGTCAACTATGATGTGTAAACCTAACCTTTTATGTTTGTCACAAGTAGTAACAGCATAAGCCATGGGTTTGATGTACTTAGCATTCTGTTTTATCTTTTCAGCAAATTAGGTCAAGGTAACCCCAGAAATCCAAATACTGGTATTTATGCTCTTGTTTATGGAGAATAACTGAAATATAACTGCAAATAATAATAAGAAATGGTAATAGAGACTGTTACTTTTTCACTTCTCTTACTGTCTTTTTGGAACCTTGGAACCTATTCTGATATCCTTTTCCAGCTAAATCAACTGGAATGTTATAAATATTTTGAAACTTTTGTTGCTTTTGTGTTCAACTTGGAAAAATATTTTCTGATTTAGTTTTTTCCTTTAAACAACTTCTGTACAAAGCTTGACACTGAAGCATTGTTTTTATTTTGGAAAGCCTCAGTTGTGGGCAATCAGTAAATGCCTATTACATGAGCCAGCAAACAAAAGGCCATAGAGTTCTTAATTTGACGAAAAATAGTATACATAGAATTTAAGTTAATCACCAGAAGAGAATGAAATTTTCTAGTGGTGTTCAAAAAGACTTTATACATGGTCATAATTTATATAAATCTCAGATGCTAAATAATCAGAATTTCAATAGTTAAAAGTTAGGCTTAGAAAGAAATTTGTGGCTCAGATGGTATAAGCTTGTACTTAGATATGGAAAATAGAATAAGAGTATGTTAAACAAAATTTAAAACAAGACTGTATTAAAAAAATTTAAACCATTAGAAATATTGGAAACAAAACAAAAAGGTTAACAGATGGTTTAAACTGTAGATGAGGAATTCTCTTTTAGAATGAGACAGAGAGGAAAAAATATCAAAGAACAGTTGACATCCAGGATGAATTGAGAACCTCCAACTCGCATCTTAAAAAGATTTCCAAGAGAAGAGAATGGAGGCAGTAGTAGAAAATATTTGGGGGAATAATTGATTTTTTTTTTTAAGTGTTAAAAGTCCTTGGTGTAAATATTGAGTAGCAGGCAAGGTAAATAATAGTGTATCCATACTTTGACACGTCTTAAATTATAGCATATTAAGAAAGTATTGAAAGTTACCAGAGCAAAGAAACAATGCTGGCAGGGGATAATACATAAGGAAAATAAATGCTATGAGACATGAAATAAGATTCTCAAATTATCAACCTAAGATTTTATATGCAGCTAAATTATTTGAGCAAGAACAAAAAGACATTCCAGGCTTACAAAAACTAATTGCGTATGCTGCCTATATAAATCCACTATAAGGCCAGTAAAGATAGAAGAAAAGTAAACATAGAGGGAATGTATAGGATATAAGAAACAGTACCAATCATAGAAATGGATAAACCTCACAATAAGAAACAAAATAAAAATTTTCCTAGTTCACTTAATTTTGTTAAAAGAAGAAAGACAAATGCAATAACATCAAGATTAGGATTTAAGATAAAAAGCATTGAAGGGATATAGAAGGCCATTTCAAAATGAAAGAAGCAATCTACTAAGGAAGTATAATCATGAGCAGGTATGTGGCTGCTAAAATAGTCTTCACATGTCATATAAAATAAAAGATATGTGGATTACAAGGAGAAATTGATAAATGTGCATGAGTGATATCACATTATATCAATTGCTATACCAATAATAGGTGAAGATATAATAGCTTAGAGCCACAGAATTTTTAAAAGCTTGACCTAGGAATTCTGTACCCAAGAATATAGAAATGTTTTATTTATGTGGAACACTTTAATGCCTATGTTCAACTCAAAGGAAGACTCAGTATATTTAGAAAATAAAGCTACTTACTGTATTTTCTTACCAAATGCAATCAGAAAGATTTTAACAATATAAAAATTTTGAAAGTTTGGAAATTAGGAATGCATTCCTATTATGAGTTAAAGACAAAATCAGAGAGTGCAAAACATTAAGAACACATGAAGATAAGTGTGAAATGTAGCTTAAACAATAGTTTGAGATGATCTCTGTTCATCTCCAGAAGTTGGAAAAAGTGAATCCAAAGAAAGTAAATGAAAGAAAATAATAGAAATTAGTGAAATAGAAAAAGCAAAGCAGTCAGCTATAAAGTTAAAAGTATACTTTTGGATAAAACTAGTAGAAAATAAAAAGATATGATTACAGCTAGAGTAGAGCTATAAAAGCATAATACTATGTATGTCTGCCAAAAATTTTGAAATTTTAGATAAAAGTAGTTTCTCAGGATATATGAATTACCAAGATTGTCTCACAGAAACCCTGAATAAACTAATAATCATAAAATTTGCCAAGTCAATAGAATTCTTTTTTAAAATTTATTTATTATGTATGCATACAATTACTGGGATGTAAGGGGGGGAGGGGAGAGTTGGTGGGAGAGTGGCAGTGGTGGTGAAGGGATACACCAGAGACAGTGGGGAGCAGAACAGGCAGACTAACTGAAAAACACTGCTGAGGGGAGCAGCGGGCAGACGGGAGAGGTCTGCTGCACCATGTGGGTTGTTCCCTGGCCAGGCTGGTGGGCGGGGATCAAACCTAGTGCTGCAGTGGTTGGGGATAACTTGATAGTGCTGTCTTTAACTCCTGTGCCACCAGGGAGGCCCAAGTCAATAGAATTTGTATTTACAGGACCTGCTGGTGACTACTGGTTGTCTCAGCACTACCACCACGGTAGCTTGATTTTGATCCCCACATGGCGCAGCAGACCTCTCCTATTTTGCCTGCTGCTCCCCGTATCGATGTATTTCAGTAGATCTGCCTGTTCTGTTCCCTACTCTGTCTCTGGTGAATCCTCTTATCCTGGCACCTCTTGCCTACATCCCATTTCTTCTATGCAAATTAAATATCTTCAAAAATCTTGGGGTTTTAGAAAATATTCTTGTTTACAAAAGTTTTGCACAGGCTTATGTTTTATAAAAATATTTTGTTAAATCTTTAATATTTGTTACTTTCTTTTTTAAATTGTCAGACACTAGATAAAAAGGGTTAGTGTAATTGGATACTCAAACAAGAAGTATTAATACTAGTACACCAATACACACTTCTCATTTATGATCATAGAGTATAAAATCTCTAAGTTTTGGTTCTATAGAGTATTAAAAAATAGTATATACCATAAAAATCCGTACTAGAGATGCCAGGATAGTTTAACATTAGAACATCTATTGATGCCACTCACTATTAACAAATGAGGAAACTCAGAAAGGACCTTCAATTCCTGTTAATAACATGAATTCTTACTAGTTCTCAGCAAACTAGGTATTGAGAAGGACTTGCCTTAACCTAAGGAAATTTTCCTACATAGAGGAAGCAAGAGAATCTGCACTATTAGAACTAAAAAGAAAATTGAACATTGTTGGAATGAAGATCAATATTGAAGATTCAGTAATGTTTGTCTCTGTACTACTAATTAGAAAAGTAATAGAAGAAAAAGATATTCTGAAGCAAGCAAATAAAAAGAAATCAGAATGCTTAGTCACTTCTAAAGTAAAGTCAGTCTAAGAAACCTTTGTAGAGGAAATTTATAAAACTGTATTTAAGGGGACTCTTCGGTGGCACAGCGGGTTGAGCACAGTGCTGTGAAGCTGTCCAGCCTCTGCAGCACAGGTTCGATTCCTGGCCGGCAAGGGAGATTCCCACATGGTGTGGCAGACCACTCCTGTCGCGCCTGCTGCTTGCTGCCCTCAGCAGTGGACTTGGGTCGTTTGCCTGTTCTCCCTGCTCTGTCTTTGGTGAAGCCTCTCACCCTCCCGTGCCTCTGGCCTGTACCCCAGCTCTTGTATTAAAAAAAAAAAAATCTTAAAAAAAAAAACCCCACAAAAAAATAGTTTTTAAGGACATACTTTATAAACAGAATGAGATAATGTGTTTATAGGTGGGATGACACAGTGTTATAAAGAAACTCACCTTTATCTATACATATAGGACAATTCTAATTTTATTTTAAAATCTTATTCCTCCTTCCCTTGGGCCTTTTAAACTATCTACAAATGTACAAGAAAGAATAGGATCAAGAAGAGGGTAATTCACTACATTTTTAAATTTATTTATTTTTTTATTAAAGATTTTTTTTTTAGAGAGGCATGTTTTATTTATTTATGTATTTGTTTGTTTGTTTGTTTGACTGTACATGCACTGGGTACAGTCAGAAGCGCGGGAGGGTGAGAGAATTCACCAGAGCCAGAGCAGGGAGCAGAGCAGGCAGAAGGACCGAAGGACACTGCTGAGGGGAGCAGCGGGCGGCAGGAGAGGTCTGCGCACCATGTGGGACCCTCCTCCGGTGGCCGGGGAGCAGCCGGCGATTGAAACGGCACCGCGGGCAGCTTCGCAACCCAGCGCTCAACCGCTGCGCCACCGGGGAGGCCCTCCACTACATTTTTTTAAAATGGAAAACAGTGGCTATTGGTAAAGGCTATTTCCAATAGTGGCTATTGGGAAAACAGACATACTCCTATATTGTTAGCCCATAGTATCTATAGGTTCTTTATCTGCAGATTCAGTCAGTAGTGGATGAAAACTACATAATTACATCTATGATGGTTGCATTTGTACTGAATATGTACAAACCTTTTCTGATCATTATTCCTAAACAATCCAGTGTAACAACTATTTACGTAGTATTTTCATTATATTAGGTATTAAAAGTCATCTACAGATGATTTTAAGTATATGGGAGGATGTGCATAGATTATGTGCAAAGACTACATTTTCATGTATAAGGGACTTGAGCTTGTGTGGACATTGGTATTTGCAGGGGTCCTGGAACCAGTCTCCTGTGGATACTGAGGAATGGCTGTATAGTGTTGGTAGGTCCATTTTTTATGGAAGTCAGTTTCCATATATTCTAGCTAGGCTTAAATCATATAGAAAGCTCATCAGATAAACTTAATAGTTAAGAGATGATAAAGGAGTGCTGAGAAATTAATCCTAACTTAAAAATATCTGAATCTAATAACTATTATATACTGTTGTTTTATTAACATTCCTTTTGTATTTATGTTGTGTAAGGTACTGTCTTTATAAGCATTTTCATCTAATTGTTTCATCATTAAAACAGCCTTGTGACATGGTTATTTTTAATCTCCATTTTATAGAAATGGAAAGTGAGGCCCAGAAAGGTTAAGAAGACCAAGTTCATTTAACTAGTATGTGAAAGAGCCTAAATTTAGCTCTTAAACTATAATCTTAATTAATTACTATATGGTTATAATCACTATGTGGTTATATAGTTAATAATGAATTGATTTGTGATACCCACATACCTTAAATCTTACCTTTATTAAAATGATTACATTTTCTAGTTAATTTAAAATTTAATGCTTAATTTCTTTCATTAGAATGTTAACATTGTAGAATTAATGTTTTATTTCTTCATTGGATTTTCAGCCTGTTATAAAAAAAGCAAAACCCTTATTAATGGAAAATTGTTTGCTTTTTCCCCAGAGGATCTGAAGAGGCAAAATGCAGTGTTGCAAGCTGCACAAGATGATTTAGGACACCTTCGGACACAGCTGTGGGAAGCCCAAGCAGAGATGGAGAATATTAAGGCCATTGCCACAGTGTCTGAGAATACTAAACAAGAAGCTATAGATGAAGTGAAAAGACAGTGGAGAGAAGAAGTTGCTTCACTTCAGGCTGTGATGAAAGGTAAAGACAAAGAAAATAAGATCTCCTTTATGATTTTGTGAGATAACTGATTCTGATGATTGAGAGCATTTTTCAGAGGGTCTTAAAAATATATCCTGCATTTCATCTGTGTCTCTGTATTGCCATCTTTCAAAATAGAAGTCAGTGACATAAATTGGTATGTCATCTATGTTTTAACAAACTTGATAATGGAGAATTATGAGGGTGTTATAGAGAAAATGCATTAAATTAACTAATTCATTATAAGGTTAAAAGCAGGGCTTCAAAATAGTTTTTCTGTAGAAATTAGGTTAGTAATGTCAATGAATAAAGCTGCATAGGCATAGGGAGTGTGCTGAACTGGGTGATCTGTAAATAGTAAACAGTAAAAGGTTACTATTTACACTTAATGGTTCCTGCTTATTATTACCCATCAAGTTCAGTGTTGCCAAATCTTTCACAGTTTCAAGAAAAATTTGGATTTTTATGTGAAATCCCCACTGCAGTCTGTAAGATAGAATGTGTTAGAATAAACTTTTGGTGCCATCAGCTTGTGACCCTTGATCTAAAGAAAAGATAGTCATTTAGTCTCTCTCTGCCATTGGCACTTCTACTAAATTACTTCCTGCATTTCTGAGAAGATGAAATGAAATGAAAATGAAGTTGTCTCCCCGAATCTTTGGCTTCCTGGAATTATTTTAGGTAGGATTGTATATGTGAAATAATGATGACCACTCCTCTCCTGTGGGCCACTCCTCTCCTGTGGGCCCCTCTCTGTAAGTTTTGTGTAATTTTGCTTTAGTGATCTTTATTAAGGCACATAAGACTAGTCGTATTTCTGGGTTTATGGATGTCATCTAGGGATTACTCTCAACTTCATGTAACAATCCTGACTATAGTGACTTACCCAAATAGGAGTTCACTTTTTTCTGACAGAACAAAAAGTCCAGAGAGCTTATCTAGGGCTGGTTACAGTGGTTCCATGATGTCACTGGTGTCTGAGACTCCTTAGTCTTTCTGTTCCTTCATCCTTAAGTATGTGGTTTTCAACTTCATTTTGCCTCATGGTTGAAAAACAACTGCTCCATCGTCAGTTTGCCTCAGAAAAGCAACAGCTTTCTAGAAATATCCAGCATATACCCTTTTCTTACACTTTGAGGTGTGTGTGGTTACTCCTAACTACAAAGACAACTGGAAAATCAAAATTTCAAATTGGACCATTGACTAATGAAATTTCAGTGTTGTTAGGAAGGAGTGGAAATTAATCGACAGCCAGCAATGTTTCTCATATTATGTTTAAAAATTAAGACTGTATAAAATTTGCCTCAATTTAGAATCTTGTTTATAGTAAAATATTCTAGAAATATATCTCTTTTCTTTAACTTTGAGGTAGTTGATTGGGGTGACTTGTTATGTTTCTCTAAGGAGTTATAGCATGTCTAAAAACATAGGTTTTGGAGTTTGAATTCTAGCTCTGCTTCTTTTAGTGGAACATTGATCAGAATATTTAACTTATCCTGAGTTTTCCTCATCTGTAAAATAATGTGGCACAGGTTTATTATGAAGATAAAAGATGATGATTAAAAGCTTTCAGCAAAATTTTAAAAACTAGAAATGTTGGTTATTTTAATTGAAATAAAAACTTTCTAGAAATTAGAAATATGTGCTTATATAACTATTTTAAAAATTTTGGTGTGCAGATATTTTTTTTCCAGATTGCTTAGACATGAAATATTTGGTGATGTTTTGTAGAAACAGTTCGTGACTATGAGCACCAGTTCCACGTTAGGCTGGAGCAGGAGCGAACACAGTGGGCACAGTATCGAGAATCTGCAGAGAGGGAAATAGCTGATTTAAGGCGAAAGCTTTCTGAAGGTCAAGAGGAGGAAAATTTAGAAAATGAAATGAAAAAGGTATGAAGGAATGTATTTATCATGTAGAAATAATTGAATCCAAATGCAAGATGCTTTAACTAATACTCTGGTAACAGAAGTTGTACTTCTATGTTTTCTGTTAGAGGAATTATTTGGGCACAGGCATAAATACAGTACCAGATTATTTGATGCCCTCCCCCTCCCAACACCCTCAAATATGTATGGCAAACTTGATCACTTTCTTCAAATCTTTGATCACCTTATAAGAGCTGTCCTGACCACCTCATTTATTTTTTTTTATTTTTTTTTATTAGATAATAAATTTTATTGTTATATTCCCCATACAATTGCAGCCCCCCCATTCTGACCCCAATCCCTCCCCTCCCGCCCCTGCCCCCCTAAAAGTGTCTCTGGTTCATAGTTTTTTGTTGATTTTGATTTTCACTTTCTTATAGTTATTCATTTTCCTGCTGACCACCTCATTTAACATTGTAACCTACCTACTTTCCTCCCCAACACGGATGCTGATCATTTTTATCCTAATTCTTCTTTTCCCATTACACATTTCCTTATACATACAGTTCACCTATTTATTATGTTTATTGTTTGCTGCCTTTCTCTCCATGCTGGAATGTAAGATTCATTAAAGGCAGAAGTCTTAGTTGAATATCCTAAATGCCTAAAGTAGTATCTAGCACATACCTTTTCAAGAAAATTTGTTGAATGAGTATGTTTGCTTGCTGATTATGTCTAAAACTTGTGAAAGATGTTAGTTTTCTTTCTTTCTCAATATAACTTGGTTCCTATGTCACGAATATACTGCATTATTTTGCCTGAACATAGAGCAACTAAATATAAGGTGAAATATTTTATTATTGAGAGAGATCGTAGAGTTCTCATATACTCCACACCCAGTTTCCCGTTATTAACATTTTAAATAAGAATAGTACACAATAAAATATTATTGGCACACTGTTAACTAAATTCCATCCTCTATATTCAGAATTCATTAATATCCTTTTATTTTCTTTTCTAGGATCCCATCCAGAATATCACATTACATTTAGTCATGTTTTCTTAGGCTCCTTGTGCTATGACAATCACTCAGATTTTACTTTTGTTCAATAACCTTTCTGTCACGTTACAAAAATCATCTTTAAAAGTTTTATTTATAATGAAATATAATGTTTAGAATTGTGAGGTCAACTTTGCATTAATAGATAACTCAGTCTATGTTACATTCTTTGGTGCTGCCCTCCTTTTTTTCCCCCTGCTGGTTTTTATTATCCGACCTCTGTCAGCATCCCAAATTAGCCTTGACTGATGATATTTTAAGCTCACATGTCTTTCCCAAACAGGACTTACTTCAAAATAAAATAAACCATAAAATGACTTTGTAAGGATTGGAAAACAAAATGAAAACCTCTTTTGTAAGAGATTTTTTTCAGGGGAAGCTCTCTACCCACCTTTGGACATATATGATATTTTTCTCTATCATGAACAAATTCAGTGAATAAAGTTAATTTTTGTTTTCACTAGAAGGAAAAAATTAACTTTTATAGTGTTCCTTGGAATGTGCATAATTTTATAAATAAATGTCAGTATATAAATATATAATTATGTATGTATAGATAATTGTTTCTCAACAATTTTTACCTTAGGGTATTGTTTCCTTTTAATCCATGTTTTTGAGAATGAAGGATGGAACACAATATGATAGTTTTAGGAGTCATTGTTTGGGTTTGTTTCACTTAGATATCAAAAGTAAAATAGTTTTTAAAATGCTCTTTAAATAACTAGATGGCAGCTTCTTTATAGCAATATAACTTTCTAGTGTTTTAGGAAGTACATTTGTTTATGTTTAAAAGTAATCAGTCCTTTCATTCTTATGAGAATGAAATTAATTTCATTAATTTAATAACAAGAATTCTAAACATTAATATATTTATTGTGTGTATTTCTTTTTATATACAAGATATTTTCCAACACAATTATTCAATTAATTTAAAAGTCAGACTTGTCATAGTGAATCCATTTTCCTTCTTTCTCCCAAATTCTAAGTGAAATATTTAGGCACACTCTGATTATGACTTGACAAAGTTATGCAACATTAAAACTTAGACATGTTTCAGTGCTGTGAGTGCTAGTACAATGCCTGTAGAATTATTTGTTATACTAATTTTAATGAGTGGGTCACTGTTTCTTAGAAAAGCAATAAAACAGTAAGTTTATAACACTTAATATTTTTTAACTATAGGCCCAAGAGGATGCTGAAAAACTTCGGTCTGTTGTGATGCCCATGGAGAAGGAAATTGCAGCTTTGAAAGATAAACTGACAGAGGCTGAAGACAAGATTAAAGAGCTGGAGGCCTCAAAGGTTGTGAACATTGTGATCCATTTGCTTTAAACTTAGTATTGTGTCCTAATACTATGAGTAAAACTAGAATCACTGAGGGAGTAAAGTGTAACTTAGACTATGGATCTTAAGATCTTTAAAATGCAAAAAAATGCTTTAAGATGAGTTTGCCTTTTTGGATATTTCATTTTATTTTTAAAGATTTATTTATTTATGCATACAAGAACTGGGGTATAGGTCAGAGGTGCGGGGGGTGAGAGGATTCACCAGAGACAGAGTGGGGAACAGAACAGACAGATTGACTGAAATACACTGCTGAGGGGAGCAGTGGGTGAGTCAGGAGAGGTCTGCTGCACCATGTGGGTAGCTCCCTGGCTGGGGGATCGAACTCGTGCTGCATTGACTGCGGATTGCTTCATAGGTTGTGTCTTAACCCCTTGTGCCACCAGGGAGGCCTCTTTATGGATATTTCAAATAATCATAATGGTGCTGCTTGTGCTGCTTTGTTATTTAAGTTAGTAGAGAGCCCAGAAATTGACCATTTGTATATGGAAATTTAGTATATGAGAAGTGGCATTATAAATCAGTGGGAGATGTTTTTAAAAAATGCTTTCAAATATTAGTTATAAATGTAAAATAAAGTGAAATTGGCTTCCTGTTCCACACTTTACAAAAATTAATTTCTGTGATTTAAAAATCTCAGAGTGAAAAATAAATTTTTAAAGCTTTTAGGTGTTACAAAAAGAAAATTATTTGAGGGTACAAAAACTTTTTTTGTTTTTAAAGATTTATTTATTCATGCATACAAGAACTGGGGTACAAGCCAGATGTGTGGGAGGGTGAGAGGATTCACCAGAGACAGCGGGAAACAAAACAGGCAGACTGACTGAAACACACTGCTGAGGGGAGCAGCAGGTGAGACAGGAGAGGTCTGCTGCACCATGTGGGTATCTCTCAAGCTGGCCGGGATCGAATCCGTGCTGCAGAGGCTGAGGACAGCTTCACAGCACTGCGCTCAACTGCCTGCGCCACCAGGTAGGCCCATGAAAACATTTTTTAAATAAAATAATACTATAAAAGATTGACAAATTTGCCTATATTAGAATATAAAATTTCCATACTAAAAGATACAGTAGGTAGTTGAAAGAAAAGTTGTGAACTATTAGAATATATTATACTCATACAGACCAAAAAATAGTGCCCAACGCTAATAAAAATTGCCAATTCCATATATGATAAATGACCCAAAAGGAAAAGTATCTGAACAATTTACAAAAGAAGAAACTATAGTATACAAGAATGAAAAGATATTCAACCTTACTAGAAATTAGGGAAATGTAAGTTGTGTGAAATTCTTCCCAGTTTCAGTTGCTGTTCCAAGTTGGGTTCCCAGTTGACTATCCTGGGCTTATCTGGGTGTAGATATTGATACCATATAAATCTTTTCCTTATAAGTAGCTTTTGGTGATGTGTCCCCATCCTCTATTTATCACTGTTTCAGGTTTTTTTTGGTAGATGTCCTTGTGTTTTTGTTATTTTTTTTATTGGTGGCTTCATTTTGAAGGCATTGAAATTCAAGGAAGTTCACACACTGTGCTACTATTAATTACCACCATCTTCCCAGGGTTCTTAATAGTTTTGGAATGCTAGAAATACACCATTAGTTCAAATGTTTATTCTAAGATAATAGCTGATAGAAATAATGGTTAGATACCACCATTTTATGTCTGCCATTTTGATTCTCTTCTACCATCAACATCAGCTGAATTACCACCCTCTCCAAATGAAAGAGAAAATGCCTTAACTACAGCCAGCAGTTTATCATGCTTAGTTAATAGCATTTTGGTTGATGACAACATCCAGTGAAACATTAAATGGCAACTTAAGTAATCATATTAGTCCTTGATCAGTACTAATGTATTAATAGTCTTCTAAAGATTAGATAACTAAAAACATTACTATTTCAAATTTGAAGAAGTGGGATGATAAAAGGCACGAAAATGACTTCTAATAACCATTTGAAAAAAACATAATCATTTGAAAAAACTGAAAGTTAAACAGATAGCCAAAATTTATGATGAACGGTTTATAAGATGGGATGGAGGGCCTCCCTGGTGGTGCAAGGGATTAAGTACCACACTATGATGCTATCCACAGCCTCTGCAGCACGAGTTCAATCCCTGGCCGGCCAGGGAGCTACCCATGTGGCACAGCAGACCTCTTCTGTCTCACCCGCTGCTCCCCTCAGCAGTGTATTTCAGTGGATCTGCCTGTTCTGCTCCCCACTCTGGTGAATCCTCTCACTCTCTCGCATATCTGGCCTGTACCCCGGTTCTTGTATAAATAAATAAATCTTAAAAAAAAGTTTATTTAAAAATAAAGATGGGATGGAACAACTGATTGTATAATCACTATCTGGGGGCAAGAGTGTATTTTATTTCACTTATAACTATCTCAGATATTAGTTTTTTTTTTAAACATTTGAATATTGTATCTGTTCAACAGAACTACAGTATGTTTAAAAAGATGTGATTAAAGCATTCTCTGCTTTTCTTCAAGTTTGTGTTCTTTATAGTATGAGACTAGTTATTTTTTGCATCATGACTTCTGTTTTCCCTCTGTGACTGTATATGTCTCTGAGAATGTCTCCTTTTATAAATTTAAGGCACTTGGAATTCTTACCAGAAAGCAAAGAAAAGCAAACTTACAGGGGTGTGATACCATTTTTGTCTTTGAAAGCAACTACTTGTCTTTTTTTTTTTTTTTTTAAACACCACTTGGTATTACTGACTATGCAATAAAATGAGCACATGTAAGTATTGATCTGGAAATACAAATTGGAACTATCTTTTGAAAAGCATGGTACAGAACTGTTATGTGTAATGTCAATTATATATTCACTCTGGTGACATGATTATGAATAATGCCTACTATTGTTATTTTCCCAGAATCTGTAGTATATGTTTTTTAATTAAAAATATGAATTTTCAATTCTTGTAAATTTAAATACAAACATCAATTTTTAGTTTAATAGAATTGTGTCTTGTTTCAGGTTAAAGAACTCAATCATTATCTGGAAGCTGAGAAGTCTTGTAGAACTGATCTAGAGATGTATGTAGCTGTTTTGAATACTCAGAAATCCGTTTTACAGGAAGATGCTGAGAAACTGCGGAAAGAATTGCATGAAGGTAAATATGTACTCTATTTTTTTAATTTCAGTCACTGAGTGAGTTATGTAAGTACTTGATATTGACTAACAACAATACATATTCTAAAACCCAATCCAACATATTAGTGATTCAGTTTAAACTTTGTAGGTGATTTGAATGTTTTCATGAAAAGTTGAGGGTTGTGAGGTATACTCGAATTGTTAACCTCTTCTCTTGCCTCTAGGTCCCAGTAATAATTTCACAAGACAAGTGTTCAGAGCAAAAAGATAATAGGGCTAAGAATTTCTGCTCCCCCCACTTCATTCATTTTGGTGAAGGTGAACATGGGACAGAAAGGGGAGACAATATATTCTGGTATCCTTAAGTAACAATCCTGTTTTTAAGAGACATTTTTTATTTCACTAGCCTGGTAGCAGAATGATGTAGAAATTGACTCTGTTTTCTAGAGATAGAGGAAGAAGGCTCATCCTTTGCCCTTTTAATTCTTCTAATAATTCTTACATACCTGGGGTTCTTAACCTTGTGTTGTAGACTCCTTTGGCAGTCTTCTGAAACCCTCTCAGAATAATGTTTTTATTCCAGAGAATACATAGAATTATGAAAGAAGTGAATTATATTATAAAATTTATCAAAACATTAACTGCAAACTTAAGATATAATAATAAAAGTACCATTTTATTAAATAACAAGGTTTATTAGCAGTTTATTAGTTTATATTAACTACTATAATTTTGAAGTAATGCTGAGCATAAATGATAAGATCTCTGTAACAGCTGTACTAAGATGAAAATATCTGTGACTTCTGTTGGTGATGAAGTCATAGCTATTGCTATACTGAATGTGATTTGTTACCTCCATTTTATAATAGAAGGAAATGATAAATTTTAGTTAAAGGTTAGTAAAAATAAGATATAGCATTTTCAAATCGTCATGTAAATGCATGGACCCCTTGGAATCTTAAGTTTGTTAATAATTATACTAGTAACATTTTAATATGAAGGTTTAGGACTATAGTGATAGAATCCTACTATGAACACTTTTCAGTGTATCAGCTATTATGGATGATACAGCCCTTTCTTAAATAACTTAGGTTTTCATGAGTTATTTTCCAAATAGTGGAAGGCTGAAATGATACAATCCTCAGGATTTTTATGAAAATGACCCAAAGTTTGAGGAAACATTTTTCAAAAGTACTTCTACAGTCAGAAAGACAATTTGAGAAAAAAAAAAATTCTGTGTCTGTAAAAAAAAAGTTTTCAATTAAAAAAAAAAAGATACCCTGAAAGGTGTCCAAATGAAATAGGAATTTATGCTTAAACTCTACACCCCAGTTCTTTCAGAATTAGTGTAAGACTACCAAACCTTCCTACGATATCTGGAAAAGTATCTGAGAAGGTTTATTAAGTTGTGTAATGGGGTGTAGTAATTTCAGTAATGAAATACACACAGAAAGTCTCCAAATGAAAGAAGACAGAATGGAGCAACAGTGTAACTTACAGCCTCAGTTGGTGGAATCAGACAGGAAACCAAGTTAGTGCAGTTATGTATGATAGGTGCTAGGCTTGGAAATGTAGGAGGCAACAGTGTCACAGATGTGCTTCTTATAAGAGGTTGCTTTGAACAGTCATTTTCCAGGTAGTCAGAGATGAACATAGCATTTAAGCCATTTGCATGTATACAAAAAGGTAAAGAAGTTTAAGAAATTAATTCAGCAGAATTAGATGTAAGATGTAGTAGGGCAAAATGTAAGATAAGAGAGCAAGGGGCCAAGATTGTAGAGACCTTATACTATGGACTTTGGATTTCATCTTTCTTTTTTTTAATGGAAGACAGTAATCTGATTTAATAGTTGTTCGTGCAGAAATCTACGGGTATTAGCTTTATCCAAATTTGATGTGAATTAACAATTATATTGACAGAAATAGAAAAATTAGTATACATCAATGGAAATGTGTGTATATATATAGAGTGAGATATAATTCATATGCTATGAAGTTTACGCTTTTGTAATGTACAATTCAATGTTTTTAATGTATTTACAAAATTGTGTGCTATCACCACTAATTCCAGAATGTTTTCATTACTCCAAAAAGAAATTCTGTACCCATTTACCCATTATTACTCTCTGTAGGCTCCTTTTCTTCAGCCCCTGGCAACACAACCAATAATCAGAAAGATTATTAAAGATTATTAATAAACAAAGTCTCTATAGATTTGCATATTCTGGACTTTGACATAAATGAGATTATATAGTATGTGACATCTTGTCTCTGGCTTATTGGAAGGGTTTGTAATTGACAATGATATTTTGTGTTTTAGAAAGTTCTATTTCACAGAAGTGTGGTGGATAGAATAGAGGGGACAAAACTAAGCAAGGGCAGGAAGAATAATAGACACTGCTGTTGTAGTTGTTTAAGGCATAAGGACTGATCTGAGGCAAAAGTCTGTGATGCCTGTGTGACACTGCACAGAATGGAGAATTCTCTAGGCCTCTGTCACAGGTGAATGTGTTGGGTGAGAAAAAGTCAGAAGTCTCAATTGTCTCATATTTCTGATTTGAGTAACTTGGTAGATGGACACATAGAGAATGCTACCTACTTTTTTGGGTGAACTGATGATATAAGTCAAAATTTGAACTGACTCATCCTGAGAGTTCTAAACCTAAATGGGCTCAAGAAGTTTTCTTGGATAACAGATTTATCAGAATGTATTAAAGAGAACTGGAATGGTTACTACACCTTTGACCTTTACAACAACACCTACCAAAGTATATTCTCTAGAACACTTGCTATATGATTGGCTGTCTAGAAAGGGTTTTTTAAAAGTGAAATAAATTTGGAAAATGTATTATATATCACTTTCCATGAGACCGTATATATACTCTGACTTCAAAGGAATCTTTAAAAATATTTTTAACCCAGGTATTCTAAAACTTACTGAATACAGAAGAATTTTTTCCCCACATGTTCCTAAGAGCACACTTTGGGAGACTGCTTAGAGACAGGGTGTTATGTGTAAGAACAGCTGTCATATGCAAAGATAGGCTCTTCCTTGGTTCTTGTGAAAGGCAGAATCCCAGGCAGTGCTCCATTGACCAGACCTATGTTAAAGAAATTGTCTACCATTAAACTTCAGTGTTTTGTATTGGGGGATTCCTAAACAGTTTGCCATCTCTTGGAGCAAGAGCGACAGCAACACAACCAGTTAAAACACACATGGCAGAAGGCCAATGACCAATTTTTGGAATCTCAACGTTTGCTAATGAGGGACATGCAGCGAATGGAGATTGTACTAACTTCAGAACAACTCCGACAAGTTGAAGAACTGAAGAAGAAAGATCAGGTGAATAGCAGTTTTGTGAGACCTGCTTGCTTTGTTAATGATACAGTCCATATGACTATTACTTTATATAGAGATTAACTTAAACTGATACAAGTTATATACACCCTTTCAAAAAGCATAACTGCTTTTGGAGAATTTTATTTTCTAGTTTTACAAATGACCTTGTCCGGGGAAAAGAACTGATCTAGAAATGATCATCTTTAAGACTGCTGAATGCAACGGAGAACATTTTAAAAAATCTTTATAATTCTGTCCAATTTTCCTGGGACTCCTGAATTGTGTTAATCCATACCAGGTCTTTTATAAAGGTGCTCTAAAAGCCTTATTAGAAGGTGACAGGGTGGAATGGAGGAACTGAGTGATATGAAAAGGCAGGTATCTAGAGTACTGCATACCCAAGATACTATTTTCTCCTTATCTTCAAAAAAATTACTGAAATTGGGGCCTCCCTGGTGGCACAAGGGGCTAAGTGTCAGCACTCTGAAGCAGTCTGCATCTCCTGCAGCATGAGTTTGATCCCCCGCCAGGAAGGTGACCCACATGATACAGCAGACCTCTCCCAACTTGCCCAGCAGTGTATCTCAGTAGATCTGCCTGTTCTGCTACCCACTCTGTCTCTGGTGATTCCTCTCAACCCCTACATCTCTGGCTTACACCTTGGTTCTTGTATGCATAAATGAATAAATCTTTTTTAAAAATCACTTAAATTACATGCGTAACACACAAATACCATCCTCATGTTAAAATATTTTAAGTACAGAGTGAAGTAATAAAACAATAAATTGAAAATCTCCCAAGACCTCCCTTCCCAGAAGTAATTACTTTGCACTAAAATGTACTCAGTCTGGAAGGCAGTCTTCTAGACCATTTCTGTGTTTATAAGTGTGTATTTAGGTCTTTAAAAATTGTACAACTAGTATGGTATTAATGTTCTGTAACTTAGGGTTCCCATAAGCATTATCTTGGACATATTTTCACACCAGAGATCTCATTTTGTTAACTGGTAGCATATGTGTACTGTAATTGGTTTTATCCATCCCCTGTAGTGCGTGTCTAGATGGTTCTCCTCCTTACCCCCACTTTTTTTTTTAATCATTTCAAACAAAGTTGCAGCTAATATCCTGTACTATCTTATTCACTAGAATATGTCACTAGGATAACTATGTAAAAGCTTTTCTACATATTATAAGAAATATTTAAAATTACCTTATATGACTTAGGTTAGATTTTGTTTTTCTGAAGTTTCTTCTTTTTAAATTTCTATTTTGTCTCTAATTCTGACTCATTCATCTATGTGCGGACACAACCAGCTTAAGGATTTAGATTTTTAAAGTATAGAACTAATCATGCTCTTCCTGCTGCCTATTAAAACAATCTACACTCCTATACTGGTCATTTAAAGCCTTTATTAACATTTCCTGAGTTTTTACTATAAGCCAGCATTGTGCTAAAACTTTATATATATTAAACTTTATCTCTTGTAGCTCTCAGTATTAACAAATAAATGAGCACACAAAACAACAAAATGCTGCAAATGAAATAGGTACTATGGACAGATCTGAGGTTTGACTCAATTTCTGATTCCAGAGTGTAAGCACTGAGTCACCACCCTCTTCTCCTTTATCTTATTCCATGTATCTCATGTTCCTGCCTCTTTTTAGTGACATCCAATTATTCAATAATCTTCCATTTGCCTGCTCTTCTGCCTGCTCTTCTGTAGCTATACCTTTGTACATGCTTCCTTTCTTCCTGGCACCATTTCTTGTCTCCTCTCACACATTTATTAAACTCATTTTACTAATCCTGCAATATCCAACTAAATTGTTAACCTTTGAGCTTCCATTCTAGTTCCATCAGATGAAAGCAGTCATTGATTTTTCTCCTATAGAACCTGTACGTACTTGTGTAGTGTTGTAACTAAATGTACCTTTGTCCCTCCCTCTAGCCTGTTTGGGGGCACTGAAGGTATCAGTTCATTTTTGTTGAATTATTGGATTAACTCCAATCATTCCTTTATTTCATATAAACTTGGACATGTTTCTAATAGATACTAAGTGTCATAGCTTTGTCTTGTTTTCTATGATAATTTGAAAGAATGTTCTGTGTAAATTTTCATTTCAAGAAGGGGGGTGATTTACTTCTTTTGCTTTGCCTTTCACATAGTGTACTTTTCTTGAAAGCTGTTCTCTGATTTCTTCTTTATGCCAGGGTTCATGTTTTGTGCCTGTAGTATTTAAGCAACATGTTATGGTCATAGATGTCCTTAGATGTTATTATAAAACAAAGTGTCCAGTTTTCTCTCATCATAAAACTCTGTTCATTTTTTTTTTTGTTTTGAGCAGTTAAATAATTGTAGATAATGAAATACTATACATAATGAATCATTACATATAGATTACCTGGGTGATTTTATTTTTATATTTATTTTTTTCTTTTTACCTTTTAGGAGGAAGATGAACAGCAAAGACTTAGTAAGAGAAAGGATCACAAAAAACTGGATGTTGAGGAAGAAGTGAAAATACCAGTAGTCTGTGCTTTAACTCATGAAGAATCTTTAGCCCAGTTGTCAAATGAAGAGGTATAGTGAATTTATCATTAAAATTATTGTATGCATGATGTTATTTTAATTAATATAATATCTTCAATTATTTTTATGGTATTATCGGTAGTACATTTTGAAACATGTTGCAATTTCTCTCACTGTCTCTGAAATAGCTGTTCTTTTCCCAGTGGTTCCAAAATTAAAACATCAGAAAATTTTAATAACTACAAGAGGTTTTTTGAAATGAATGATAAGTGTTGCCAATGCTTGAGCTTCTCATTTAAAAAACTATCTGAAATATTAAAACATTTAACTTCCTATAGCATATATTTAATTATTTATTAACCAGTAAAAGATCTTAAGGCCTAAGAACAGTGGGTGAGGTTTGAGAGATTCTGATGGGTAGGAAGGAGCATTTCAAGTATTGGGTATACAAAGATTGGAAAGACCTGAAGCAGAAAGTGTAAGGTGGTGTTCCTATGACCTCATCACTTCTCACCCACAATGGCTTCTTTATTACCTTTTCTGTTTTCATCCTGTCTCATTGTAACCTCAAACATATTGTCACATTAAATTTTCTTAAATGCAGCCACAGTCAGACCACACCTATTTCAAAAACCACCACTGACTTTGTTCTACATCATGAAGTATATAAATTGCCACTCAGTCAGTCAGTGCCCTTCATAGTATGTGCTCTGTTTTTAGCCACAGTGCTTCACTTGCCACCTAGCTCATTGGTTCCTTCCCCTGGAACACCCCTCCCTTTACCTTTCTGAGTATGGAAATCCTTCTATTCATTCTTCAAGACTCAATGATGATACCTCTTTTTCAATAAGGGAAATGCTTCTCTTACTGCCTTTAAGTGAAAACTTAAGTTCCCTCATTTGGCACACAAGGGCCTACAGTTGAATGACTCATTAGCCTTATCAGACAGTCGGCTGTATCATAGCCAGATCTTTCTGCTTATTGTCCATGTGCATATTCCTATTTATACTGCCCCTGCTGTTTAGAATTTCATACTTTCCTGGCTTGTGAACCAATTTCAGTTAAGTTAGATAAGGGTCTTTTCTCAAATTCAGTGGTATCATGTTTTTGTTTAGATTGAAGATTTACTTAGACCTGTATAGAATCTACTTCCTGTTTATGGATTGTTTAACATTTAAAAAATGCTTTAAAAATTTCCAGTGAACATAGAAAGTATGATGTAATTGTTTTTCTACATTCTTTGTTTTGGGTCATACACTGAAGGTCACTTCACCTGATTATGCTGTGCATTTTTAAATAGTTAGACTTGCAGGAGAATGTCTTAATTTTGGGGTGCTGCCAGACATTAGTTTTTGCATCATGCAGTTCTATGTCCAGAATGTTTGAAAAAGTTTCAAACTTCAAAAAATATTTTAGCAGGAAATTAGGAGAGGGAGATTTGTTGTGATTCAGAATGAAGCATTTTTCTTATTTTTGGTTCTGTCTGAACAGACATGTGATAAAGTGTACATAACTTTTCCTAATATTTGAAATATCTTTTAGATGATCAGATCTGGTATTTTGTAATTTGAGTGTTGAATGTACATGTTTTGTGTTGAAAGTTATTACAGTTTATTGTAGCTTGTTGGCTTAAAGTTAATATGAAATGCTCTTGACACTTAGATTTCTTGCTAAAAACATTTAAAATTTATAGAACCTTGTATCTTCTTTAATTGGCAGAATATACTTTTCTAATTACTTAAGTAATATGTATTCATTATGACAAAGGAAAGTACAGAAAGGTTATACAAAGTAAAATTACTGATAGGTAATTCTGATGTCCAGAGATCACCACCACTTAGCATTTTGGTATGTGCCTGTCCTTTCCCTCTTTCTCTTTTTGTTTCCAAAGATAACATTTTTTTTTTAATTTTTACTTTTCAAACATAATTCATATTGTAACTGTTTAATGAATATCATTTCCCACCTAAGTTTAAAAGTTTTGGCAAAAATGCTTTCCCTAAACATGATATTTAATAGCTTAATTCTCTACAAATTGATTTGTGCCCAGGTTTTAATTTGTAAGAGTTGTTAAGGGATAATATGTATAGGTGAGTGCCATTGAACAAGAAGTGTAATGTTAATCACAGTTCACCTAAAATGAGAGGCATGTAGAGCCACATGAAAAAGCACCAGTTAGTCATGAGGCAAAAGCAGGAGCAAGAGGAAAGCATCAACCCAGCCAATAGGAGTTTTTGCGGGAAAGGCAGGACAGGGCAGGGTAAATAGTATAGGAAAGACTATTTTGAATAATCCCATTGTGCCTTAGGGCATAAAGTCTGTCTTTAGTTTTTTAGTACCTGGTCCTGGGTTGACACAGGGCAGGGGAAATACTGGCTTGGTGTTTAAGAGTTACATGAAGGAGTTGGATGGATGAGGTGTGTGGAATTGGTATTGGTTGATTTCTTTAGAAAGGTATCTTCATAGACAAGTTGTTATTATGTCTAGGAGTTAGCTACCATGGGAGGGGCAGTCTCTCCCCAGTCAGCAAGGCTCCCCAACAGTCAAAAACATCATAAAATATAACGATTTAAAAACATAATTAACATGCTAGTCAAGTGGCTTTTCATTTTTTATTAGTATAATTTTTTATTATAAGTTATGCATAATGCTTTTATGTATAATTCTTCCCTATACTGAAATCATTATGGAATTACCTGATTATGTACTTAGTATAAATTTTTATGAAAAGGACTGTTGAGTTTAAGGCCATACACATTTTTATGGGATTAGAACATACTGTTTAATTACAGAAACACATTAACAGTTTATGTTCCCTTTTTGCTAGAAGTATATGTCCCTTATACTGTTATTAGTATGTTTTTAAAATAGCCCTCAACTTTTCTGCTGGAGTTCCTTTTTCTCTTTGGTGTCACAGCAGAATTGTATATGATACCTTTAGATGTCAGACTTCTTTGTAAGCAGACAGAATGCATTGACACTCCAGTGTTTATTCGAATACTTATTTTGGGACCTTTGCCATAACTAGTTTAATATGTACTAGATGTGTTCCTCTGCCATCTGAATTTCAACAATTAATTCTTTAAAAAGAATTAATATAAAAGGTGTTGACTTTTTATTATACCAAATAAGGATAAATTTAAAATATTTTTTAAAAATCTGTATTCTTTAGTTTTCCAGTTCATAAAAGGCAGGGTATTTAACAACAAAAGTTAGAAAGGATATGTTACAATAAGACTAGTCCTTTAGATGGAATAAGTTTGTCTCCAAGAAAAATTTCCTATTTTCCTAGTTTCCTGATTTCCTAACTCACTGTGCAACTTGCAACTGCATCATGGAATGCCAGTAGTGTGCTTTTTGACTTTGCAAATATGCTAATTGGAATGAAAATTCATGTAAAATGATATTAATCATTTGAAGTGTGCATTTAGTGGCATTTAGTACCTTCATAGTGTAAATGCACCCATCACCTCTGTCTAGTTTCATAACATTTTTATCACCCCCAAAGGAGACCCCATTTCTGTTAAGGACTCATTCGTCATTCTTCTTTCCCCTTAGCTTCTGGAATCACTAATTTGCTTTTAGACTCTCTTGGTTACCTGTTCTGGACATTTCATATAGATGGAATCATACAATACTTTTTTTGGTCTGACTGACTTCTTTCACTTAGTATACCACATTCATTGTGATTACACCTTATTCGAAACTTGGTTTCCAGTATACCACTAAACTCATTTTTCCTCTGCTTCTCTAGCTACTTCTTCCTTTGTTCAGCCCCAAAATGTTGGTTTTTTTCAGGGTTCATCCCTTGGCCTTCTTCTCATCCTACAGACTTATCCAAGGTGTTCTGATTTGCTGCTGTGACTTTATCATTATGCAGTGGATACGCCCTATCTTTATGTAAAGACTTACATGGTCCTCTATCAGGTGGACATCTCTACTTGGATATACCATAACCACCTCATATTCAAAATACCCAGCCCTGAATTTCAAGAGACCTTCCCTGACTCCTTATGTCTGGGCTGAATTCTTCTTCTTGAACTCCCAGATCATTCCTAGTGCTACTCTTGTCATTTTACTAAGTATAATGTTCTGATAGCCTGCTTGTTTATTTTTTTTTTTCATGAAACTATAAGCACCTTGAGGTCAGAGTTGTACAAGTTGTATCTTGTCCACTCTTTGTATCCTGAATGTTTAGAGCCTGGCATAGTAGAGACTTAGTAATTATTCCGTGAATATGTGAAGGTAGCACATTAATGATCATCCTATGTAACATGTGGCAAAGTAATTTCAATATATGGTGGTTTGTCTCTTTGAAAATATAGAGACTTGGGCCTCCCCAGTGGCGCAGCGGTTGAGCGCTGGGTTGTGAAGCTGCCCGCAGCCTCTGCAGCGCCAGTTCGATCCCCGGCTGCTCCCTGGCCACCTGAGGAGGGTCCCACATGGCGCGCAGACCTCTCCTGCCGCCCACTGCTCCCCTCAGCAGTGTACTTCTGTCCTTCTGTCTGCTCTGCTCCCCGCTCTGGCTCTGGTGAATTCTCTCACCCTCCCGTGCTTCTGACTGTACCCAGTGCTTGTATAAATAAATAAATAAATCTTAAAAAAAAAAAAAAGAAAGAAAGAAAAAAAGAAAATATAGAGACTTGCAACTTGGCAATATATTTTTTCACATTTCAGGAACATTTAGATAGTACCCATGGTTCAGTCCATTCCTTAGATGCAGACTTACTGTTGCCATCTGGAGACCCATTCAGTAAATCGGACAATGACATGTTCAAAGATGGACTCAGGAGAGCACAGTCTACAGACAGCTTGGGAACCTCAGGCTCACTGCAATCTAAAGCTTTAGGCTATAACTACAAAGCAAAATCTGCTGGAAACCTGGACGAATCAGATTTTGGACCATTGGTTGGAGCAGATTCGGTGTCTGAGAACTTTGATACTGCCTCCCTTGGGTCACTGCAAATGCCAAGTGGGTTTATGTTAACCAAAGATCAGGAAAGAGCAATCAAGGCGATGACACCAGAACAAGAAGAGACGGCGTCCCTCCTCTCCAGTGTTACACAGGGTATGGAAAGTGCTTACATGTCCCCCAGTGGTTACCGCTTAGTCAGTGAGACAGAATGGAATCTCCTACAAAAAGAGGTGAGTTATCTTCCTTATTTTTTCCTCTTGCTTTGAGAATACTTGGTAGCTCTGGGATTCATTGTTCATTTACTAGCACCTGGAGTCAAGCATCCCTCCAAGTATATGTTAACCCATATTGTCTGACCATTGTCATAGTCTGCTTTGGCTGTTCCTAGTGACTGTGACAAAGGAGGGAACTAATTTCATTTAGTGTCAGCTTTTCCACTTGCAATCACACTTTTGAAGTTGTAGCAATCTTCCTGAAAAGCATAGCAAATTTATGAGTAGCTTGAATTTGGTTTGCTTTGCAGGTTTTTATAATCTCAATATATTCCCAAATTTATACTCTTTCATTTTTCCTTGAGATCTAAAGGGCAAATATTTGTTAGCAGTTGATGCTGAGAGTGAGTATAAGGAGGGAGTAGAAAATAAGGGAAGAGAATGGAAGACAATCTTCAATGAGGTTAAATTTCTTCCTAATACCATTTACAAACTCAGAAGATTAGGAGGTAAGAAATTAAATGAAATAAAGCACAGTGGGGCCTCCCCGGTGGCGCAGCGGTTGAGCGCTAGGTTGCGAAGCTGCCCGCGGCCTCTGCGGCGCTGGTTCGATCCCCGGCTGCTTCCCGGCCACCGGCGGAGGATCCCACATGGCACGCAGACCTCTCCTGCCGCCTGCTGCTCCCCTCAGCAGTGTACTTCGGTCCTTCTGCCTGCTCTGCTCCCTGCTCTGGCTCTGGTGAATTCTCTCACCCTCCCGCGCTTCTGACTGTACCCAGTGCATGTATAAACAAAACAAACAAACAAAATAAATAAATAAAAAAAAAAAACATGCCTCTATAAAAAAAAAATAAAAAGATTTAAAAAAAAAAATAAAGCACAGTGCTTTATAGAATACAAAATCCTTTTATATACCTGATCTCTTTGAGCTTCATGATATTAATGAGGCAATCAGGGCATGGTTGTCCCCCAATTGTAAGTGAAGAAAGTGTCTCTGAAAGGTAAAGTGAATCACTCAAGTTCTTCCTTTGATTTAATGGCAATATCAGGGTTAGAATCCAGGTTTTCTGACTTCTGGTGCTTTCCTTTACTCACAGCTACTTCTCTTTAAAGAAGCTGTTGATAAGTATGTGGAATAGCCTATTAAACTGAAAAGAAACTATTCTCTTTAGCCTTATGGAAAACATGTATGAGAAGGTGCTACTTAATAGTTTCATACTACTTTGTAATTGGAGCTGGTAAAATGGTGAATTGGCACTGCTTCCCTGTTTTCACTCCCCTTGGCTGAGTAGTATTGATTTAAATTGTGAGTGCCATGGTGTTATACCATTTGCTTGACTTGTTTTTCCTCAAATGTGGTGTTTTCAGTCCTTAGCTTCATGATGATAAAGTTGTGGCCTTCTATTTTACTACCACATTTGCAATGGAGCTTGTAAATCTTTTAAAATCTGATTCTATAGTTTAACTTCTTGCCATAAGCCTGAAGAAATTATTTACTCCATGTTCTACTTTAATAACATAGGTAAGTCTGTGCATGTGTTCCTCAAGTATGTGATGTAGAATTATTTTGTTATGGCTGATAAGAGGTAATTTTGGTGCCCTCCAGGTACATAATGCTGGAAATAAACTTGGTAGACGTTGTGATATGTGTTCCAATTATGAAAAACAGTTACAAGGTATTCAAATTCAGGAGGCTGAAACAAGAGATCAGGTGAGTTTCTTTTGGATATACTGGGTTGGTGAGCTGTTGTAATTTTATTGAAGGTATGGAATTAACTTCTTTTTTCCCTCTGTCATTTGCTTAATGAACTGTATCCATCTTGTTCAGTATGAAATAATCTGGTACATGAAATACCAGTTACATTTCCAGCAGGAGCACATAGCCTCTGTTGTGTATCTGTTTTATTAACTTGCCCAATACCACACAGGTCAGTTCAGTAGCCCTGGCATATCTGGCATATCTCTCTGCCCCTTCCACCCAAGACCTAAAAATGGTATTGTCATGAAATATATATGCATGTGAAAGTACATTATCATTTGTAAATTTTGGCAGATAAGAACTTGATTATTGCCTCTAACTGAATAAAAGCTTAATTGAACATTATATTAATCAGTATTTGGCCTCTGCATTGCTTATTGGCTACATCTTGTCATAAATTTGTTGAATTAATGTTAATTTATAGGGGCCATAGAAATTAAGATTTGGTATGCTGAAATGAACAAATCTTAAGTATCTTTCCAAATACATGCTTAATTCTTGGTTCCTTAATATCATTTGGGAAATAGGTAGAATTTCTTGAGTAGGCTTGCCAAAGTATGAGTAAGGAAAAGAAAATTAATTTATAGTTCCAAATTGTTCTTTGGTATGAAGATTGTTCCCATAGTCTTCAAAATAATATGAAGAAAATCAGAATGGTTGTTCAATATTTTCCAATGTCATTGGCATTGATTTCTTATATGTGCTTTTTTCATAGATGATTTAAAGATAAATTTCTAAAGTTACTTGTAAAACTAATACAGTTCTTACAGTGTGACATGGACATGGGCTATTGGATTCTAGTCATTTCAATAGACATTTTACTGATGCTTCGTTTGTGCTTAGAATTCTGCGGACTCTTGGGCATTCAAATACAGATAAAATACACTTTGAGTGTTGCCAGCTAAGCCATTAGTTAAATATACTTTGTTCCTGTAGATGTACACACAGAACTAGAGGAGGGATAGGGCAGCTAACTTAATAGTTGGCTCAGGGAAGGTAACACTTGAGCTGAGTTGTTTTCAAGCTGGAGTGAAAGTTAATTAAGAATAGAAGTGGGGAAAGGATGTTCAAGGAAAGGAAAGAAAAGAGTTCAGTGTTGTGGAGAAGTAGCTAGGCATATGGCATGTGTGTGGTAGGGGGTAAGAAGGGGGGGGTATTGGGAGAGGAAGCTACTAAAGAAAGACCATGATGAGAGCATGAGGGAGGGTTGATAATTGTGAAGGGATTTAATTTTACCCTGAAGAGTTTGAGAGGCATTTAGAGATTTTAAGTAGGGAAATAATATGACTTGAATTTTGTTTCAGAAAAGAAAAAAATGTATTAGTGGGGATTGTGGACTGGAGTCAGAGGACAGACTGGAGTTAGGGAGGCCAGTGACCTAGCCTAGCGGATCTAAGAAGAAAAGCACATATTTTCAAATGAGATAATATATGTGAAAAATTGCCAAATACGGTGATTTCACCTGTTCTCCTTTTGAATTAACAAATATAAAATCGTTTTTAGGGGGAAAAAGATGAGATATTTTAGAACTATTACCCAAGTTAAGGATTTTTGTTTGATTTATGAAGGAATTTTGGTACTTTCTTCTAATTAACACTTAAAACTGCATAGGTGAAAAAACTGCAGGTGATGCTAAGGCAAGCAAATGACCAGTTAGAGAAGACAATGAAAGATAAACAGGAACTGGAAGACTTTATAAAGCAGAGCACTGAAGATTCAAGTCATCAGGTAAATGAAGGTTTTAAGACTGTGCCCTGGAAGATGACTGGGTTGTTTAAAATAAAAAACAACTGTGTTCTGAAAACACAGTATTCTTTGTTTCTTGCCCTGAAGAGATAGCATTTCTGTTTTTCTTCAGGTAAAAAGATATCTTACTGTTCTTTCTCTGGTATCTATTTTACAGGTTTTTAAAAAATCAACTTTTAAAATAACTGGTTATGAATATCGGGAGACTCAGATTTTCCTTTCCTTTTTGATTTTTATTAAGTTTTTCTACTGTACAGGCAACTTGATGACAAGAAAGATACTATTTTTAATTTTCTTTTTGACTCTTCAGAGTATAGCATCCATTAGGAAAAAAATCCATCTTACACAGATACACCAAACATACTAGAGCTAACATCTGTGAAGCCACCATCAAGGTCAAGTAATAGAGGGGCCTCCTTGGTGGCGCAAGGGGTTAAGTTGCAGCACTGTGAAGCTGTCCACAGCCACTGCAGCATAAGATCAATCCCCGGCCAGGGAACCGACCCACATGGCGCAGCAGACCTCTCCTGTTTTGCCCACTGCTCCCCTCAGCAGTGTGTTTCAGTGGAACTGCCTGTTCTGTTCCCCACTCTGTCTCTGGTGAATCCTCTTATCCCCCTGGCCTGCACCCCGGCTCTTGTATGCATAAATGAATAAATCTTTAAAAAGAAAAAAAATGATCAAGTAATAGAATATTAACTAATACCCCAGAAGTCCTCATTTCCCCCTCCACTTATTACCTCCTCCCTAGAGGTACCATTGTGCTAATTTCTAACACTGTCAGATTAATTGTGACTGTTTTGTGTTTCTTTCTTTTTTTTAAACAAACGAAGTATATAGAATGCATTCTTTGGTATATGTGTTGTCCATTCAACGTTGTGATATTCCTACTCACTATGCATGGAGCAGTAATTCGTTCATTTGTGGATATATTATAGTTTGTCCATCTTAATGTTGATGAGAGTTTGGGTTGTTTCCAGTTCTAGGATATTATGCATAATTCCTACTTTGAAATTTCTTTTTATGACTTCTTGCATAAGTTTCTGCTGGATATATGCCTTGGAATGGAATGCCTGGGTCAAAATGTTCATCAACTTTAGTAGATTATAAGGCCAAACAGTTTTCAGAGTGATTGTACACATTTATACTCCCACTAGGAGTGTATGAGAAGAATTCCTGTTGGTCTACAGTCTTCATAAACTTGATTTTGTTATTTTAATTACAGCCATTTTGGTGGGTGTGGAATGGTATTTCATTGTTTGCATTTCTCCGGTGTTTACTTAGCATTTTTCATATTTATTGGCCTTTAGGGTATCATATTGTGTGTGTGTGAGAGCTTGAGTTCCCGCAGCTCTGAAGCAAGTCTTATGCTAATTTTTCTGTTAGGATGTCTGTTTAGGCTTTATTATTTTTTTTTTATGTTATGTATTCTTTTATTTAAACTTATTGAGCCCTTTGGTGATATGTCTTGCATATGTCTTCTACTCAGTTCCTTACTTTTCATTATTTGAATAGTATCTTTTGAGGAACAGAAGTTTTTAATTTTATTGTAATCAAATTTATTATCTTTTCTCTATTAGTTATTTTTTTGCCCTGGTTTTTAAGATAGTATTTTCTCACCCTGCAGTTATGGAGTTATTTTCATGTGTTTTGTAGACGTTTCCTTGTTTTAGAGTCATGTTTATATTCTAAACTCCAGCTAGTGTATATATGCTGTATGTGTATATGCTGCAGGTCAGGGTAAATTTTTGTTTCACTTTTCCATATGGATAACAAGTTCTGGTACCAGTTAGTAAATTGGTCATTTTCCCCCACAGCTCTCAAAGTTATCTTTGTTCTCTGTCAGGTGAATATACATGTGTGGGTCAGTTTTAGGACTCTTTTTTTGTCTTTGCTTATTTTCTTCTGATGTTTTCTAGATCACTAATTTTTCCCTTCAGATGGGTATAATCTGTTTAATTCATCCATTCAAATATTAAGATAAATGGCCTTGTATGCATTGTATTTCTATTTGGTTATTTTTCATTGTTTCCAATTCTCTGGCAGTTCTAAATTTTGTCTTTTAAATACCAAACAGGCCAAGTATAGTTATTTTAAAGTCTGTCTCTAATAAGTCACATATCTGGATTCATTGTAGATCCGTTTCTACAATCTGTTTAGTTTTTTATAATGTCCATTTGTTTCCCTTTTTTTTTTCCTTAAAATGTCAGGAAAATATCCTTTTCATGTGCAATTTTACTTGAGGGCTAGGCATTGAATGTGAAAAATTGTTGAAATGATATAAAACCGTTTTCTTTATGAGAAGCAGGCAACTAGTAGTACTAATGATTCTGGGTATTACTGTAATCCAGTTGCATGAATTGAGATTATCTGAAGGTTATTAGATTATTTAAATTCCTCTCTTACCCCTCAGTGTGGCCCTTTGGGGCCTCAGTCTAAAGTGCAGGGTGTTTTCTGAGCATCCTCAAATGCTTTGCTCAGCTTTTCAGTGTCACCTGTTTCTTTTGGAGTTGGCATTTACTTTTAGAGAAGAGCTGTTGTAGATGCTGCACTCAACTCTCCAGGTGTCCACATTCAGGTCCTTGGCTCTGTGATTCTTTCCGCCTTGTTCTCCAATGTCTTCAAATGGTTGTTTTCATATTTTAGTCTAGGTTTTCTATTTCTCAATAAAAGGTTGGTTTACATTAACTAATCTGCTATTACTGGAAGCAGAATTCTGATAATAATCATGTTTTAAATGTCAAAAAGTTATTTTATTTTATGATTATTCTATGAGTCATTAACTTTCACATAAACCCTTCAGGAACATTAAAGCCAAGTCACGGGAGTGTAGAGTTCAGTGGTGTCAACCTTGTGTTTATTGCTCTAAGTAAATCATCTTGGAGGATAGTAGGTAGTTGCAGAAATGATTCATTTGTTCTTTGAACTGTGTGAAATTTCACATTTCTTTTGATTTTTCTTTAGCTTCTTTAAGATTAATTTTTATAATGAGGTCACATGGATTGATATTTGTCTAGAGACACCATGCCGATTTCTCATCTGTAGCAGCATGTGACACTGGGGACTTTGGGTAGTGCCTTGTGTGATCTGAAAGGCAGAGCCACACATTATATGTTGAATGAATAGTGAGTGGGTTACAGTGGACAATAAACATCAATCCTGGATGTTAACTAGGAGAAGAATTACCAGTTTCCTAACTGTATATTTTCTTTATGTACATTTTTTCTCTCCCTTAAGATCTCTACACTTGCCCTAAGAGCCCAAGCATCTGAGATCTTACTTGACGAGTTACAACAGAGCTTTTCCCAGGCAAAGAGGGACGTTCAGAAACAGATGGTAAGTTAACACTTAATTTAAAAAAAATTAATTATGTATTAATTTATATGTATGTGTTCTATCTTGAAATCATCTATTAATAGAACTTTTTTTTTTTTTAAGATTTATTTATTATTTATACAAGCACTGGGTACAGTCAGAAGCGTGGGAGGGTGAGAGAATTCACCAGAGCCAGAGCTGGGAGCAGAGCAAGCAGAAGGACCGAAGTTCACTGCTGAGGGGAGCAGCGGGTGGCAGGAGAGGTCTACACGCCATGTGGGACCCTCCTCCGGTGGCCTGGGAGCAGCCTGGGATCGAACCGGCGCTGCAGAGGCTGCGGGCAGCTTCGCAACCCAGCGCTCAAACGCTACGCCACCGGGGAGGCCCTATTAATAGAACTTTTAACTCCCTGGTCAAAGTGTCTATGGTTTTCAGGTTATGGTTATGTTATTCAGGGCCTACATAACATTAGTAATGGATAAGATTATGTAAAGATATTCCTTTATTAAATCTACCTCCTGGGAGCCTCCCTGGTGGTACAGGGGTTAAAGTCAGTGCTGTCAAAGCTATCCCCAGCCACTGAGGAATGAGTTCGATCCCCAGCAGAGAGCTAATTCACATGGTGCCGCAGACCTCTCCTGTCTTGCCCTCTGCTCTCCTTAGCAGTATATTTCAGTAGATCTGCCTGTTCTGCTCACCACTCTGTCTCTGGTGAATCTTCTCACCCCCTGCATCTCTGTCCTGTACCCCAGTTCATGTATGTATAAATAAATAAAAATCCTGCCTCGCCTGCTGCTCCCCTCAGCAGTGTCTTCGGTCTGTCTGCCTGTTCTGCTCCCCGCTCTGTCTCTGGTGAATTCTCTCACCCTCCCGTGCCTCTGACCTGCAACCCAGTTCTTGTATAAATAAATAAAAAATCTTTAAAAAAATAAATCTTTAAACTTACCTCTTGACCAACAAAATAGTGTCACCTCTAGTTTATTTTTCTGATTTGGGGAACCTAACCAGAATACACTATGGACTATGTAATTTAATTTTCAGCTCCAAATACAAGCTAAAAATGGAAATCTCAAAGCCTAGCCGGTGCAGCTTTTGGCAGTCATTGTGCTTTCCTTAGACTGCTAATTTATTTATTTAGAATAATCTCATTAATTTCGCAGGGGCTAAGAAAGCCCTAGCTGCTGTGGTGCAGGAAAACTTCCAGAAGGCCATGAGTTTTGATGGGAATGGAGCAGAGAGCTTCTTGAAGAGCTGTTTGGAATCTCTGCAAAATAGTACCCCAGCTTTGGGCCTCCCTTCTTATTCTGGCTCATTTTGCCTTATTCTTTTTCTCAGTGTTGGAGCCCTGCATCTGATAGCCCTTTGTAAATTATAGCAGAATTGGTCCTGCTGGGATGGACCTGCAGAGCTGCCTCTTGTCCATCTCCCCCAGGGTGACAGGAAACAAAAGCCTCAAGTCAGTTGGTAATGGTTTTTGATTGGCATTAGGTCAGTATCTGAATGGCATTTAAGCTGCTCCCTAAATTAGTCCTGTTTTGTTGGGAAGCATCTCATCCCTATCATCGACCAGAGAGTTTCATAATTTTCCATTAACTAGAGAACACAAGGTAATAGTCACTGACCTAAGAACACTGTTACATGCTGCCAGAGTTTCATAGTGCGTAACCTCCTTATACTCTATCTCATCTTTTTTTCTGCTCTTTTAAAACCTTTGCAAACAGTTGATTCCTTGTTAAATGAATGTGTTGCAGGTAACATTGAAGAATGTTTGAAATTAAGGTTGAGGTTCTGTTAATGCTACTGTATTACCTTTTTTTTCAAAATTTCCTTTAAAAGTTCTTATGCTGAGAGAGAGAAATTCAGTTTCTTATGCCCCTTCAGAGAAGAGTACCTGTGGTTGTGGTGGGGATCTTGATATCTTACTGTAACTTTTTATTTTGAAATATTTCCTATTTATGGGGAGGTTTATGGAATGAACACTCATAAAAATCTTTCCTTAAATTTACTAGTAGGGGCCTCCCTGGTGGCGCAGCAGTTGAGCACTGGGTTGCAAAGCTCCTCGTGGCCTCTGTGGCGCTGGATCAATCCCCGGCTGCTCCCCGGCCACCGGAGGAGGGTCCCACATGGCGCGCAGACCTCTCCTGCCGCCCGCTGCTCCCCTCAGCAGTGTACTTCGGTCCTTCTGCCTGCTCTGCTCCCTGCTCTGGCTCTGGTGAATTCTCTCACCCTCCCGCGCTTCTGACTGTACCCAGTGCTTGTATAAACAAACAAACAAATAAACAAACAAAAGTAAAAAAAAAATTTACTAGTAAAATTTTGCTACATTTTTACATGCTTGCAATTACTCTTTTAGTCTCTTTCATATGTATGTATGTATGTATATATTATTATATGTATGTATGTTTTTCTTCTTAGCCATTTGGAACATTACGACACATCTGCCATCTTTGTGTTTCTTAAGGCAGAGAAATTATTCTATGTAACCAAAATTCTGTTATTATATTCTAAAAATCTAACCAAGTCCTTGATTATTTCTTGGCAATGGTTTATTTATTTAAAATGTTGGATCCAGGGCCTCCCTGGTGGCGCAGCGGTTGAGCGCTGGGTTGCGAAGCTGCCCGTGGCCTCTGCGACGCCGGTTCTATCCCCGGCTGCTCCCCGGCCACCAGAGGAGGGTCCCACATGGCGCGCAGACCTCTCCTGCCGCCCGCTGCTCCCCTCAGCAGTGTACTTCGGTCCTTCTGCCTGCTCTGCTCCCCGCTCTGGCTCTGGTGAATTCTCTCACCCTCCCACGCTTCTGACTGTACCCAGTGCATGTATAAACAAAACAAACAAACAAACAAATAAATAAAAACATGCCTCTATAAAAAAAAAAAAAAAAAATGTTGGATCCAGGAATCAGTCAAGAGTCACATGTTGTATTTTGCTGTCTTGTCACGTTAGTTTCCTACAGTCACTTTTTTGGGTGTGACTTTATGACTTTTTTTTAATTAATTTTTTATTTATTTATGTATGCAGGAACGGGGTGTAGGCCAGAAGTGCGGGGGTGAGAGGATTCACTAGAGACAGAGTGGGGAGCATAACAGGCAGATCCATTGAAACACACTGCTGAGGGGAGCAGTGGGTGAGATAGGAGAGGTCTGCTGCGCCATAGGTGGCTTAGCTCCCTGGCTGGGGATTGAACTCAAATTCATTCTGCAGTGGCTGGGAATAGCTTAATAGCGCTAAGACTAACCCCTGCACCACCAGGGAGGCCCTATGACTAACATTTTTGAAGATCCACACAGTTATCCTTATAGAATACATATGTCTGATTATTTCCATATGAGTAGATTCAGGTTAGACATTTTGGCAGGAATACTACATAGATGAAATGATTCAATGGGAAATTCATAACATCAAGAAGTATGTAATAATGGGCGTTTTGGTTGTTGTTACAGCTTGATCACTTAGCTAAATGTGGGGACAAATAGTTTCAGAATGACCACACTAATATCGCTGTCAATAGTAAATCTACTAAGTAAAGCTCAACATTTCTTTATATTTCTTTCTGTTCTTAGAATGTATCCCAGGTAAAGATTTACAGTTAGGATACTGTGTTCAAAAGTCAGTTGAGCTGATTTTCACTTGTTATCAATATAGTTAGTACCATTTGTTTCTGTTTTCTTTTTTAATTTACTCTTTTTTTTTCTTGAACATACAAATGGAAAACTATTAAAATGTATCAGTATCCAAAAGTCTCACTTTCATTCCCTGTCCTTTTTCCCCTATTCCTACCCACCCCTTTAATGATCATTTAATTTTTGTTTTTTCCTCTGTCTTTACAAAATAAATCAGTATACAGTTCTTCTTTCCTTTTATATCCCAAAAGTAGTAGGATACTAATATATGGTATAAGTGGATTGAAAGTGATAATAAAGCATAACTGATTCTGGTCTGAAGATAATGAGAACCAACAGAACTGATCACAAGTTAGGCATTACCTTGACTTCCAGACAGCAGCCTGCTTAAGAAGCAGTTATTACTTCTGGAAAATGTTCTTGAGTCCTTTCCCCTAATTTGATACCCTTTTGTCCTTTTATCATGGCCGTACCATTCTCTGTCATGACACTTGGGAAATTTTTGGCTTACTTATCTTTCCCTCTGCTGCGCCTTCAACTTCTCCAGAGAAAATTATCTGCCTTTTATCTCTGTTCCCAGTGAACAGCAACATGTGAAATAGATTAGGGCCTCTCTGGTGGCTTAGGGAGGTTAAGCCTCAGCACTATCATGTTTTCACTGCTGCAGCCTGAGTTCCATCCCCGGCCAGGGAGCTAGCCCACCTGTGGCCCAGCAGACCTCTTCTCTCTTGCTGGTTGCTCCCCTCAGCAGTGTATTTCAGTGGATCTGCCCTGTTCTGCTCCCCACTCTGTTTCTGGTGAATCCTCTTCCCCCTCCGCCCCATACCTCTAGCCTACTCCCCAGCTCTTCTATGCATAAATAAGTAAATGAATCTTTTTAAAAAAAAAAAACTAAATAGATTAGTACCTGCTAAATAAATGTTGAGTGAATAATGTACAGTTTATACATAATGATTTAAAATTATTTAAAATCAGCAGATATTAAATACTTCTGCAGAATTTTATCTTAAATTAACTGGAATAACTTTATATTGATATAAATTCATAAAAAATACCCAAAATTATTTTATACGTGAATAGAATGCTCCATTTTAAGAATGAGTTACTTAAGTGTCCTATATTTCTTAATGACCTCCAATATTTGTGTTCCCTGGGCCATTCACAGTGATCCTGCACTTGAACAAATGTATGCAATGAAAGATGAAGATGCTGCTTTTTGCTTCTCTCTGCTTCTGTTGAATGCATGCCATGAGGAAATAGGAATTGTTTTGGAGTACATGCTCTATTTGATACAGGTCTTGACTATGTCAGCCCTTTCCAATGAGCTAGAGATAGTGTTCCTTCTGTAGTCCAGGGATGTGGGGGAAGACAGTCATTTTAAGCTTTTGGTAGAAACAGTGGAGATTTAGTTCAGATACTTGCTTTGTTGCCTGTCCCCTTTAATATATGTAATGGCTATAAATCAAATAATCTTTAAACTGGTTTTCATGTCATATATAGAACTTTATTATGTACCTCTCTTCTCATCCCTCATTTGGTTTGGCTTTCGTTTTTTCCTGTTGCAGCTACCAGCTGATAGGATTTACCTTTCTGGCTGTGATTAGTATCTGTTTCTATTCTAGGCAGTGCTGATGCAGTCACGGGAACAGGTTTCAGAAGAGCTGGTGAGGTTACAAAAAGATAATGACAGTCTTCAGGGAAAGCATAGCTTGCATGTTTCCTTACAGCAAGCAGAAGACTTCATTCTCCCGGAAACAATAGAGGTGACTTGTTTTCCACATGATCAAAAATATAAACAAGTACATTTTCTGAAATGGCTCTAATTTTTTTAAAGACTTAATTTAGATATAATTCAGATACCCAATGATTCACCCATTTAAAGTGCACAATTCAATGGTTTTTAGTATATTCTCAGATGTATAACCATCACAATCAATTTCAGAATATCTTCATCTCTTCAAAAAGAAACCGTTTCTTCATCGTTGATTCCTTCTCCCAACCTTAATGAACCACTAGTCTACTTTCTGTTTATAGATTGGCCTATTCTGGGCTTTCACATGAATGAAATCAGACATTTTATCATCTTGTGTGTCTGGCTTCTTTCATGTAGCATACTGTTTAAGAATTATCTATGTAGTAGCATGTCCATTTCTTTACTTTTTTATGACCAGATAACACTGTGCTGCGTGTGTGTGTGGGGTGTGTGTGTTTGTGTGTGTGTGTGAATTTATTTGTCTGTTAATGGACACTTAAATTGAATTTACTTTTGGGCTATTATGAATAATGCTAACATGTACATGCTAATCATTCATGTACAGGTTTTGATGTGGACATGTTTTCATTTTTCTTGGGTATAAACCTAGGATTGGAATTGCTGGGTCATAAATCATCTGAGGGCGGCACTCCATCTGCCCGCCTGTGACTATGCTGGTGCTTCTTTTCACCAACTCTCTCCTGCAGGGCAGCAGCTTCCTGCCTTCCCGTGAACTGTACCATGCCAGGACTTCTCTTCACTGACCTCCCTCAGCGGAGGCTGCTCTCCTCAAGGCCACCCCAGCCTGCAGCCATGCAAGCCTCTCTTAGCAAACCTGTTCCTTTCAGGGCAGCTCTTCCTGCCTGCTTGTGTCTATGCAAGTTTCCTTTATTCTTCTGTCCCTTTCCCTAATAAACCTGTTCTTTAAATATATTTAAAAAAAAAATTAGATCATCTGAGGATTTCTCTACATTCTCACCAATATTTGTTCTCTCACTTTTGATTATAAACTTCCTAATGGGTATCTCATTGTGATTTTTATTTGTATTTCCCTGATGACCAATGATATTGAGCATCTTTCATGTGTTTATTGGCCATTTGTATATTTTCCTTAGAGACATGTCTCTTCAGATCCTTCACTCATTTTTAAACTGGGTTGCTTATTATTACAAGAGTTCTTTATGTTTTCTCAATATAAATCATTCTCTTAGCATATAAATGATTTGCATTGTTTTCTTTCACTCTGGATTGTCTTTTTCACTTTCTTGATGTCCTTTGAAGCACAAAGGTTTTTAATTGTGATAAAATCCAGTTTTGTTTTTTTTTTCTGTTAATATTTTCTGTGTCATAGCTAAGAATCTCTGCCAAATCAAAGATCTGTACATTATTCTGGCAGGTCCAGATGGAGAATGCATCAGAAGTTAGGTCACCAAGCAGGCTTCTTGTAATGTCTTTCTGTCTAGTACTTAAAAGGGTTTACCACCCTGTTTTCCTTTTGTCTTCTAATAACTTTTATGACACTTTTAATACTTCCATTCTTTTTTTATAAATTATTTTAAAATCAAACATTATAGAAACTTACAGTTTTGTAAGTAACAGTTTTCCCCTATTCTACTCTGCAAACTAAACCTCTATAGTTTGGACCTTATTCTTTCTCCCTGTATGTATGTGAACAATGCTGTGATATTTTTGTTGTTATTTTGTTTTTATTTTGCTCATTTACCAGGGCTCCACATCCTACTTTGCCATTAGTTCCTTGTTCTCTCTTAACCCACTTCCGTCCCCAACTTGTGATATCAGCTCAGGTTTCTGCACCTTGGGAGAGGGAGCTCTCCATTTGAAACTGGTGACTGATCTCATCAAAGAGAACGTTTTGGGAATCTGTCTACTTTTACTATCAGCATGCTACTTTCAACTGACCGTTATTAAACTTTTCTCTTTTGGTATTAAAGAGTCCTTTCTTCCATTTTTTCTAGAGAATTTCAATTCCTAAAAAGTCCCAAGAATCTTTGAAGGATGTAATTAGTATATAAACTTTAATTCTTAGACTTGACTCAGTAATACATTTTATGAAATTTTTCTTGTGTTACAGTTTATACTCTTATTTTTTACTCTTCTTTAACTTATACTTTTGGTAGTTATCAGGAATTCTAGTTTTTACTTTAGGGTTTCTTTAGGATATAGTTGGGAGGATTTTGAAAAGAACGACAACAAAAGTTAAGGGAAAAAATAAGAAGTAAACTGAATTATAGGAAAACAAGTGATTATCGTAGAAAGGCATTCTTTGTTATATTTGCCTCTGGCTTAACATAGTTTCACAAGAGTTTCACACTTGGCTTCTAAGTTTCAGACTTTTTGGCCCTCATTCCCTAACTCCCCTCAAACTTAAGCAAATAATAGAAGTTCCCATGCTATTTATAGTAAATGCCACATTGTAAGCCATCTAACATTTTTACTTTTCTGCTTCTGAAGCAGTTTTGAAAGGAAAATATAGTTCACAATACACATTGACTGAAAATATACTGACTGTTGACATAGCACGTGCCCCTTGAAGCCCCTAAGTGGGTTGGAGTTCAAAGTCTTAAATTCTGAACCATTTAAAACAACGTCTGAACTTCTGATTGCAGAAAATCTTCAGCTTCATTTCATTTCTTTGTTTTCTTTCACTCTCACAACCCAATAACTATTTGTTTTTTTAATCCAGGCACTTCGGGAGTTGGTATTAAAATACCGCGAGAACATCATTCATGTGCGGACAGCAGCAGACCACATGGAAGAAAAGCTGAAGGCTGAAATACTTTTCCTAAAAGAGCAAATTCAGGCAGAACAGTGTTTAAAAGAAAACCTTGAAGAAACTCTGCAGCTGGAAATAGAAAACTGCAAGGAAGAAATAGGTGAAGATAAAAGTGATATAGTTTAGAATTGGAGGCACAAAAGAAAATTTCTAATTACAAGAATTAATATATGGTCATGCAGTGTGGAAAATGAAAGTAGAGGAAAGAATCAAGCACTTAATCCATTTTTCTAGGTGTTCTGATACATCTAATAATGGGGAGTAAAAACTAAGAAACAGGACAAATGAGCTACTCTTTGGCAGTTAGTAGTAGCTAGGAAAGCTTGAAGCCAGACCACTGGGGAACATTATTAGATGGGGGGCATTTCCTTGCAATACTTCAGTGTGTCGACACACTCCTGCTGGGGCTATCTCATTCCCCCAACCCCCACCCCAGAGTTGTGTGGATAGTTTATGATAACTGTATGCCTCTGCCCGAGCTTGATTGGTTGGGGAAAAATTTTTTTTAAAGATTTATTTATTCATACAAGAGCTGGGGTGCAGGCCAGAGGTGCGGGTATTGAGAGGATTCACCAGAGACAGAGTGGGGAGCAGAACAGGTGGATCTACTGAAATACACTGCTGAGGGGAGCAGCGGGTGAGACAGTAGAGACCAGGTCTGCTGCACCATGTGGATTGCTCCCTGCTGGGGATCAAACTCATGCCACAGTGGCTGGCATAGCTTGATAGCGCTGAGACTTTAACCCTTGTGCCAGCAGGGAGACCCTAGTTGGGGAAATTTTTGACAAAGGAGTGTTGCATTCTTCCCATGCTCTCAGTATGTTGACTCCTTCCATTGTATGAGATTGAGCTTGTAGTAGAAAGGGATATTTTAAGACAAAAATTTAAATGCCAAATCATAAATGCTAACCTTGCCTTTCCTTTTTTTTTTTTTCCCCCCCCCTTCTAGCCTCCATTTCTAGCCTAAAAGCTGAATTAGAAAGAATAAAGGTAGAAAAAGGACTGGTGAGTTTCATGAGTTTCAGATTAATTCTGTCAGCGATCACTAGTTATTTATTGAATCCTGCTGTGCTAAGCTCAACAAATAAAAGATAGACATAGTCCCTTTACAAAACTTGTCTCATGGGGAAAATATGATAGGATTAAGATGTGAGGACAGTGGAGACTGTTCTTTGAGTCCTGTGTCAGGGCATGTGTTAGCTGGAGGTGGTCCAGGGAGGACCAAGATGTGACTGCACCCCGCAGTCTCCACTATAGTCAGATGGTCATGACACAGTCTGTACTTAAAGCTACACTAGAAATATATATAAAATCTTTTTCAAACAAGAAGTGGTGTTTTCTAGCTGACTTAGAGTCTTCTCTTAGATAACACTAAGACCTTGTTAAATGGCCCCAGTCTGTTCCCTGGCCTCTTTGTTTATACATCAGTGACTTTTGCCTTCTCTTTGCCCTTCTTTCCCACATGTTGAGCTGTGCCTTGCCCCACCACTGACATTTCATTCACATCCCTCACCCCAATCTACTGTCCCTCCAGCTCTATATTCATGGACCCATCTGAGTACCCTCAATTCAGAGATCTTCAATTCTCTGAACTTTTCCTTTAATCTTAGCTTTAGCAACTTCTTTATTTCTTTGCTTTCTGTCTGTCTAGGCTGCATCCTGTAAAAAGATGAAAAAATCTTGCATCTTCAGCTAGATTCCCACTGAAACCCACAAGTCCCCTGATGCCTTGTTCTCCTGCTGCCCTGTTCTAACAACCCATTGCAGTCTGTCTTCTGCCACCACTGTAATGGCAAGGTTGCATTGGCAGAAACTACCAGAAACCTAAACGTGTCCAACTCTTGCCACTGCCACTGTGGTTGCAGACTTCAGTCCTCACCAGACTTATTTTAACAATCTAACTTCTTTTCCTGCTCCCACATTTTATCTCCTTCCAATTTATCTTCACACTGAAACCAAGGTGAGCTTTAAAAATTACAAATGACTGTGTTCCAGTCTGATTAAAACTCCTTTAGTGATTCTATTTCCAGGATCAAGTCCATACTTCTTAGCCTGGCCAGGAATTCCTGCCTCACCGCTGCCTTTATGGTCTCAGCCTCCAAGCCCCAGCGCTCTGGGCTGTAGTGTAGGCAAGAATCACCACATTTCCTAAACATATTTTTATACATGTTATCCACTTCATCTTTTTTGGAGTATCTCACTTTACTTTCTCTCCCTTACCATCCTTTCCCTTCCATTAGATTTTTTCATCTTTTACAGGTCAGGTATCTCTTTAGGGAAGTTCTTCCCAACTTTTCAGTAGAATTAAGTATTTCTTCCTTCATGTCCATGTGCCGTAATGATTATTAGTTTTTAATAGATAAATTTTTTAAAAGATTTATTTATGCATACAAGAGCTGTGGGTACAGGCCAGAGGTGTGGGGGGTGAGAGGATTCACCCGAGACAGAGTGGGGAACAGAACAGGCAGGCTGACTGAAATACACTGCTGAGAGCAGCGAGCAAGTCAGGAGAGGTCTGCTGCGCCTGTGGGTTGCTCCCAGGCCGGGGATCGAACTCCTGCTGCAGAGGCTGTGGCTAGCTTCATAGTGCTATGCTTAACCCCTTGCGCCACAAGGGAGGTGGCATAATTATTTACATGTCTGTCTCTCCTTGCCAAGGCCTTAGAACATAATAGATGCCTAATGTTTAATGAAAGATAGAAAAGGTCCTGAAAATAAACTGAAGCTCCACAGAGATCAAAGGGTGAGAAGAGTGAACGTAAGCATGGCCAGCGTCTGAGGTCTAGGAGTCCCTGAGGGTTGGGGGGTGCACATCTCCAGGCCACAGGATCCTCAGGCATTTCTATGAGTTTAGTTTTTTCCTTCTTAATTTCACAGTTGGAGTCCACATTAAGAGAGAAGTCTCAACAGCTTGACAGTCTTCAAGAGATAAAAATCACTTTGGAGGAACAGTTAAAGAAAGAGACTGCTGCTAAGGTGATATTTTTGTTGGTAATTTATTTTTTAAAGATTTATTTGTTTATGCATATAGAGGTGCAGGGGGTGAGAGGATTCACCAGAGACAGAGTTGGGGAGCAGAACAGGCGGATCTACTGAAATACACTGCTGAGGGGAGCAGTGGGCGAGACAGGAAAGGTCTGCTGTGCCATGAGGGTCACCTCCCTGGCCGGAGATTGAACTTGTGCTGCAGTGGCTGCGGATAGCTTCCTAGAGCTGACGCTTAACCCCTTGCACCACCAGGGAGGCCCCCCACCCAGATGCTTTTTGATGATCAGTCACCAGGCTGTTGGGGTGAGCCTATAGGAGTGGGGGGTGCAGCACTTTATTTTTTCTTCTTTCATACTCAGTTTATTTTAGGACCTAGAGCAGATAGCTAGGTGGCTTGCCCGTTGCTGTGTAGATGAAGGGAGGCGAACAGGATCCATGACTGTCATGGGCATCCACCGTCCTCTCGAGGGTAGGAGACCACAGGTTCCTAAATTTCCGAAGTGCTTCTGACCCGAGGCTCTTTGGCATTAACCCTCATTCAAAACTTGTACTTTCTAGGTTTCCGTTGAACAACTCATGTTTGAAGAGAAGAACAAAGCTCAGAGGTTGCAGACAGAACTAGATGTCAGTGAGCAAGTCCAGAGAGATTTTGTAAAACTTTCTCAGACCCTTCAGGTGAGGCATTCGGGGTACCCCAGGACTGTGCACCAAGGCACTTTTGGGGATCTTGGTACCCAGGAGAGGCTTGCCAATCCCTGACTCAACCACTGACAATAAGAGCTAGAGGTTTAGAGACGAAGGCTGCCCAACCCTGGCCCCAAACAGCTGCTTGGTCATTTGAAACAGAAATATATTTCAGGCTTGTCCCACTTTCCTTTCCCTTCGGCACCTCGCTGGTTTTGCCACCTTAACCCTCAGCTGTAAACTCCTCAGCATATCATGTAAGACCCCTCCCTAGCAGGCTTAGCCATGTGTTTTATTTGTTCCTCTCTCTGCCTCACGTCATACCCGTATGTGTGAGAGCTGCTTGTGGTTGCTCAGCCACGGCGCGGTGTCCCTCTGGTAGGCAGCTTGCTTTCATTGCCCTTTTACCCTTTCAAGGCCCAGGTTAGGATTGTCTTTGCCATAATACCCTCTGTAGGTCCCCAAAGTGGGCTGCAGTGTCAGCCCCACCCCTGCTGTCTCCTGCTCATGGTGCTTTGGCATCCGATGGGCATCTACAGGGACATTTACTGTACTGTGACAAAATTCTCTCACACCTTGTTTCTCCATCTGAACTGTGGGTTCTCGGGGCTCAGTCTCTCATTTATGTCCATGGTCCCAGCATCTTGTGCTAGGTCTGTGAGAGCGGCTTTGGGAAATTTTTGATTATTTTTGCTGTTTTCTTTCTTTGAAGTGACTATTCTCTGAATTAATTGCTCCATTTCTGCTCTGTTTCTGCTCCATTTCTGAAGTTCAAAGTAAACTTCAGGAAACCTAAGTGGAGGCATCTGCACTGAACTCAATGCATTGTTTCTCCAGGTGCAGTTAGAGCGGATCCGGCAAGCAGACTCTTTGGAGAGAATCCGGGCAATTCTGAATGACACCAAACTGACAGACATTAACCAGCTCCCTGAAACATGACACCCTGATAGCAGGACTCTAGCCTGCACTTTGGATTTTTAACTCATCTTTAGAGCAACATTAATTATTATTTAACTCTTAACTGAAGAAGCAGAAGTCACAAAAAAAGGGAAGACTGGAGAAATGCTTATTTCTAGTGGAAGAATGTGCAGCACAGGAACAGCGACCAGCCAGAGTAACTTGCATCAAAAAAACCTTTCCAGTGGGAACACTAACGAGACTCCAGTCTCAGCCCAGCAGGTGTGGTGGAGAAAGTGCTGTTTCCTTGCCTGCTTTATCCAACATTTCCCTACCCTAATGCAACATCCTCATAAGTGTTTGGTATTTTCTGTTCTTAGGTATTGGAAGAGAGCCTTTTCTGTTGATTAGAGTTCATCAGTAACAGTATTCAGCTAGCAGACAGAGGTGTAGTATGCTGTATGACTATTTTATATTAAAATATGAAGTTTGAGAGCAGGCCATTGGCTAATGACTGTATTTCCTAGCTCACTGCTTTCCGTTTTTTACCACTTTATCTTGAGATGGAGGACCTTAAATGCTACTGAAACTTTCCTGAGACCCAAACAAAAGCAATTCAAGAACTGAATTAATTGTGAGAATCTGAAAACATGGCTGGGGCTTCTGTTGAGATCAAAGGAAAAGCACAAGAAGCAGTTTGGAAGCACTTTTTCTGCTACCTGGATGATTTTGTGCGCCCACAGGTACCAGAGTCAAACTTAACTGGCACCATCTACTCTTTCAAAAACCGTCTTAGTTATTGGATCAGTGGAAAGAAAAAAAATTACAGAACAAGCTGTGTCTGACAACATCTAGTATAAATTTATAAATCTTATTTTCAACTCAAATCTGTGGGCCCGAATACTACTAGTCTCAAACACCAACATGCTAACTAGGTTTGACAGATACCTGTTTTGTATTTTTCTTTTATAATTTAGACCTGGGGTGTGATGCTTACTGAGGTTGTGGAAAACCCAGTTGGTATAGTCATCGTTTTGGAAATCGCTTTGTAATTTCTGTGAAGTTAGATTCCTTTCCAATGTGCAAAAGGCTTCAATGAGCAGGTTATTTTTGCCGTAGCCTTATGAAATGTTGCGGAAAGCACAAAGACCAGATTCAGGTTCACGCTTTACCTGCCGCAGTTCTATCAGGCAGTGGAGGGCAATACTGTAGTTCGTACAGGTGGTTCAAAATAAAATTATTAGTATCAAATACCTTTGATACTGGTGTTGCATAACAGCAGGATACTGGAAGGACTTTATGGGAATTAAGTGGATTAAGTAAGATCGGCTCATGGAAAGCCACCATCAACTTAGAATTTAAAGTGAATTGTGTTTGTTATAAATGAAGTGGTAATGGACTAGCCTTAAAGATCTTTATTTCTCTGTCTTCCACAGAACAAGCGATAAGGACTACATACCTCATCCCCTGGGTTACTGTTGTAGTCTTGCATTCATAATTATGAACTTAAAAGTAAAACTAATAATGGAAATAATGCTATAGGCTTGCCATGCATGAAACATTTTAATTGGTTTAAAGTCCCTTTGTATAAAGTGCTACTTGGTTTAGATAGAGGAAATGTATAGCCTCATTGAGTTACAGGGAATTTCATTCCAAAATGCAGTCAATTTAAATTATATACGCATAAGACTAGTCCCTTAGATTATCCACCAAGCTGACCTGTTTCAGATTATTAAAATTGGCACTTTAAAACAGGATGGGTAATTCACAATCTTCCTGCACTAACTGAACATAGCTCCAGGGACTTGCTGAGATCAGGCATCTTGCAGATGTTTTTCTTCCTAAGATGGTATGGGGCCAGTAAAATCATGATTAAGGAATGTTTTTGGTCTCTGTTGTGGCAGATGCGATCTGTTGGAACCCACTCTGCTGAGAAAAATAGCCTAGAAAAACCCAAACTAAGATTCTGGGGTTTGTATTTCTGGTATGAAACAAACTGTTGGGACATTCTAGTAGAAAAAACTCCTGGAACTGGGTTTTCTGTAGAAGTGGGCAGCTGATTTTGGAGGTAGGATTTTAGCGCTTCTAGACAAAAGGACAGTTGGGTTTCATGAGTGTTCCTGTGCTTGTATTCAGTCTGTACACTTATTCTCACGCATGTCTAACCTGATTTACCTCCTACCTGTAACCTACCTTATTACCATGTGGCTTTTAATTGGCAGTCACTCAGCCATTTCTAGGCAGGTACATATTACCTTTCAGAACTCATATTGATAGGTATAAAAAGATTACTAAAGCTGAGGACAAGATTTATACTGCATACCAGCCATTTTCTTCTTTTTCCCTTTTGAGGTCCTGCACCTGCACCTCATACCCAGCAACAGGTATTGGTACATAGAGCACAGCCAAACCCAGCTCTGAAAGGTAATACTGCCTGTCAAGGAAGTGAGCTAGCAGTGGGCTTGCGATTGTGGATCTTGAGTTCGGCTCTGAGCGGACTGCAGGTGTTAACTGTTTGTACTGAAGGCGTGTCCTTAAGAAGAAAGTGTTCAAATTAAAAAAGCTGCTGCCTAGTATACTGTGTGGTCTTTTCCTGGGAATCCCGGGGTTATGTCCCTCTTCAGACTCATGTTTGTGGTGCTGCTACTTTAAAATGCAGCTCTTATTCTTGTGCAAATACAGAGAAAGCTCAATAGGAATGATCTGGTGGTGGCTGCAGCTGAATGTCTCGGGCTTTTTTTGTTTTCAATCCTAGGTCACTGCTGAGTACAAGCAGATTCAAACTTACATAGAAAGCACATTCCACTGTTTAAATATAAGCATTTATTCAATAATTATAAAACAAGTATAAAAATGAACAACCACACTAAGTTCTTCCCAAAATGCCTCTTTATAAATTAGATAATGCCACCTGTTTTACAGTATGAGTTTAAGCCTTCACTTGTGTTAACTTCAGTTGCGAGTTTGTTCCTGGTGTTGTCAGAAGTTCACATGGTTTCGGATATCATTGATTTGCTTCACCATTTCTCTTATGTGTTCACCCCTGTAAAATTGTAAAGTCATTTACCTTTGGGAATACCACAAATGAATAAGCTATTATAACTGCTTCTGAAGAATGTCCACTGGCAATGAATGATCTTAGAAGTGCTGTGCTAAACTACCAGCTTATGGTTTTGGGTGGATAGTAATGGTCTTGACTCTTCACTGCAGGTGGCAATCGGCGCAACTGCTGGAAATATGTTTGAACAGATCGTAACCACATCAAATTGTATTACAGGAAAGTTAATCAGTTTGATCCTCTCACATACTCATCTTAAGTCCACAGCTATCCTAAAGCTCCTGTCTCAGTAATACTAGACATGCAAATAAGTAATCTTATCTGGGCGGAAAAAGGTTGATTTTTTAATACTGCAGTGGAAATAAAGACACTGTCTCTGTGCGAGCTGACGGTAGTGTTACTTACTCCTCTTTCAGGATGGACTGAATGCACTTTCTCTGGTAGGCGCTGAGCGTTATGGTGGGTTTTTGAGGACTCAGAACCTTTTCCATCTTTCGTTGCTGATACTCTTTTTTCATAGTAACCTTAAGTATGAGACAACAGATATTTTTGGCTATGAATCGTATGTTGTATGTACAACTTTGTTTTGTAACTGAGGAAACATCAGTTGATAATCCTGTGTAGGTTTCAAGATAAGTTTCTCATGGCGCTCACCAATACCTAGTCCCCACCTACCAACAACCGATTGCTGTACATCTTGGTAATGTCAGTTTTAGTCTATTCTCTTTGCATTAAAAAAAATTATCTATAGAACAGACTCTTGAAAAAATGCTGGATTTAGCTCCTCTGTTCATCCCTTCTTACCTGTTTAATGGCATTGCCCAGGTGTCGGAGTTGATCAGGTATCAGCTGTAGTTCTTTCTTCATGTCTCTCTCACTATCAGAAAGCACTGGCAGCTGAGAGTGGAAACTGTGAAGTACTTTCTTCATCCTTTAGAAAAGGTAAGCCAACATCGTAGCTGGAGATAGGCTACCGAGGAGAAACCCAGTCCTAACTTAAGTTTACAGGGGAATTCACGCCCCTGTAAAGGAGGCCGCTACAGGGCGGCCGGGGAAGCACTACTGTCTTCCCTGACAGACCTCTGGGGAGGGCTGGGGGGTGATCCTGTCAGCAGGTGAGCACCCTTCTGAGGTGCTCAAAAACACTATTAGCACCCAAGGACTTAAGTGACTCTGCTAAGTAGCTGAACAGGGCAGAGAATGTTACACATCTCACTGACCTGTTCATGATATCTTCTTGTTTTTCCTTGGCTTCCTCACATTTTTCAGCTAAACGCTCAGCCATTTCCCGAAGACTTTTCCTAATGGTGTAAAAAACAAGCTCTTGGAGTCCACCTTGAGGTTGATGCCACATGATGTGACTCAGCATCTTGTGAAATACAGTTCTATTCTACTTACTATTTGTTTTCTCCCTATTTGTGGCACTTACCTCTCCTCTCGACAATAATTGAGATCTTCTTGTTGCTTATCTTTTTGGTCACATAATAACTTGACCCTTCAAGAGCAAAAAGAAGTGAAATTTAATCCAAAGCCAGGTCCAGGCCATTACAGCGTCAGCTACTAGTCAGGGCCTGATGGTGTATGAACAAAAACCATCTTACCTCCGCTGAATCTCCTCCTTTGCCAGGTCCTGTTTAAGAATGTACTGTTCTCTGAACACCTGGGTGGCTCTGCTGATGAGCTGAAGACATTCTTCAGGAGGAGGGGGTGTATCTTTTTCAGATGATCTTTTAAAAAAAAAGTTTATTTCTATAACTGAGTAAAATAACTAAAAATATTCAAGTTATAGCTGCTTTTCTCCTTTTTTATACTCTTCCTGTCTATCATTCTCAAATGCCTCTGCCCATGTCTATTTTCGCCCTCTTTTCATTAGCTGATTAAACATGCCCCATGTTTCTGACAACTGTAACATAGTAATAGTGAGGGCAGAGTTTGAACAGTAATGATAAAAACAGAAAAGACAACCAGCTCTTAAAACCTATATGCCCCAAAGCTCATACTTCAAAAATGCTGGATTTGCAGTAGTACGTTGCAAAATGCTTTTAATATGCTTTTCAAAGGAATCTGGTGTTTCAGCTAGAATCCGGAGGGGAGACTCTGCCACTTCGACATCTTCTCGGGTACAAAGCAGCGGGGGAGAGGCTGGATGGACTGTGCTTCTGCAAAATAAAGTTCACAGTGGAGTGATTTACAGTACACCTGAGAGGAAAGCATAGTCACATTTCCAGAGCTTTGAGAATAGAAGAAACTATAAGCATTACTTTTGTAAATGCATTTTCTGCTTTGAAGAGGTCATCTTAGGAGTGTATCCCCTTATTCAGCCAGTGCTGCTATTTGTCAAAGCATTTTGGACTCTTCACTTTCGATTTTTTTTTGAAGATGGAGGCAGCACAAACACAGACACTCATGGACTCTTGGCAAAAGACTTGAGAACCAGTTTAGAAGCCAGAGTTAGGAACAAATCACTCATTCTCTAGGTATAGTTTGGAGCCGATCAAAACCAACATTCAGCCAGACAACTACTGGACATATAGTTGGTCTATTTAACTTGATTTCTAAGAATCACATCTACTTAGATTACTATAAAAATTTACAGGCAGCAATCCCTCTGCCCACCTGTGAATATGCAGATGCTTATTTTCACCAACTCTCTCCCTCTGCAGGGCAGCAGCCTACCTGCCTGCCCGTGACCTGTACCTGCCGGGACTTCACTGACCTCCCTCAGCAGAGGACGCTCTCCTAAAGGCTGCCCGCCTGCAGCCATGCAGACCTCTCTTAGCAAACCTGTTCCTTTCAGGGCAGCTCTTCCTACCTGCTGGTGTCTATGCAAGTGTCTTACTCTTCTGTCCCTTTCCCTAATAATAATAAACCTGCTCTTTAAATATAAAAAAAAAATTATAAAGACAATTTCAGAAAAGCTTGGAAGACTGCAAACTTTGACAGCAAGGTAAGTGAGTGACTTTGGAAGCAGCAATTCAAATCTGGGAGTCTGTTAAATAATAATATAGACAGTTTGGACTTCGGGCAGATGGCAGAAACATAAGCTCTGCAGGTATCTCTATATCTTATATTTAGAAGTTCCCCCTCCTCCCCACCTTTTCAGATTCAGATTTTCATCCTCAAGTAACTTAGTGTGACTAGGCCCTATTTTACAAAGGTTAAGATAGGTTTTTAAAATACATGCTGAGGTTAACAGGCAAAAAGGCCATGTTTTTTCAGTGAATTTATTACTTCTGTTTAGTCTTACTAGAGTTTAGTATAAAAACTTTTAGTATAAAAGTGATAATTTTTCTTTAAATTGTAAAACTTATCAATATTCAAAGAGCACGGGAACTCCTCTAAGGGCAGTACATTGTATTTACTGTCAGTACTTTGAACTTAGGTTGAATGTTTTGAAGTGCTTGCTTTGAACTGACAGACTGGGAAGGTGGGTGTCTAGTGTTCAACACCTGATGGCTCATTAGAGGCTTGTATTCCTGCGTTTATGAACCTCTGCATGACCTTCCAGGACTGCTGAAAAAGCAAAATGGTTCAATATGAGTTCCTTAAGGGGAGTGAAGATTTGAGTGTAGCAACACACTTCCTCTCTCCCAGAGTTTACATTTTGTACATCACCCTCAAGCTGACAGGGAAGTGGAAATTAAGTATTGGTACAGACTTTGGAGTCAGAAAGGCCTACATGTGCAGCCAGCGATGTGCGTCGCCTGTAACTTCAGCCTTTACTTCACACTTCTAGTCCTGTTGCCTATAAAGCGGGGTAACAGCACTCTCCTTACAGGATTGCTCTGATTACATGAGGCACTGCAGGGAACTGACTTCTGAGCCTGGCACATAGTTAGAGCTTGCTGGTCATCACGTCTAAATCATAAAAATGAATTGCCACACTTCAAAGCAAAGCTCACATAGCTGAAGTAGATGCCAGAAATCAAAACTAAATAAAATCTATTAGAGATGGCAAGAGCAAGAGAAATAGACACCCTTCCAACTGCCAAATTAGAAGCCAAAGCATAAACCGTGTATTTTCAACTGGTTGCTTGACAGCATTTTTCCACTTGAGATTGCAGAATGGAATGAGAGCTGTGCTAGGAAAATAAAAAGGGACATACAATAAAGGTCTTATGAGGCATTCGTAGGTACTGGTGATGCAGATCATTGTGGGGCCCAGAATGTCCGGGACAATCCAGAATCCTTGAATGGGAGCTGGCTGCCTAGAAAGACAAGACACAGTTGAGTTGTAAAGTAGCAAACGCAATGGGAACAAGCACAAGGACATACGTGAGGTTAGTGGCCTTCTCACGAGTGAACTGTTAGCCTGAGCTAACAGTTGCTGTGTGGACATAGAATAATTTCGAAGGTGATGACTTGGAAACCTATAAAGCCGATCTGACTGAGCTGCCACTCCACAGTCTAGGGTTGGGGAGGAACCCACTGCCGCCTGTGTGCTCACGTAACCTTAACAGTTGCCACGGTGCACTGTAGTTTCTTTTAATTGAGGTAACAAGCACATAGTGAGTTTCAGGTGTTCATTTTTGAAAATCAACGTGTGTGTACACATGACACAAATCACTGTGAAAATGCCAGTTTATTCTTCACCATACCACGGTCCTTTTTTCCTGACTTACCTATTTTCTCTGCCCCTTCAATTCTGGTAACATTAATTGTTCTCATAGTCTAAGAGTTTATTTTTGGCACTAGGACAGGCATATGAAGACAGGGTTTATATGCGAGCGGGGAAGACATGCTTCTTTGCTCTACACATCACATACAGACTCAAATCATGGCGTCTATCTCCAACCATAATTCCATCTAGGTCCATCCATGTTGTTGCCAATGGTGGAATTTTTCCTTTTTTTATATTTCACTGTGTACATATACCACATCTCTATTCATTTGTCAAATGATGTGCAAATTAGTTCTTGTGTCTTTCTCCCCAGTTTACAGGTAAACCTGCTACCTTCATATGCCTATCCTGTTGCCAGCCCAGATTAACTGCTCAGAAACTGTTGACTGAATAGAATGTTAAAGTCAATTTCACATTAAAAATACAATGCAATGCAGGCCAGAGTCTTTTGTCACCGTGCACTTCCCTTTCAACCTTAGTTCCTATGTCTCTGAAGAAACCGAAAACTGTGGACCTCAGACAGGAACTTCCTGGCCAACAGGCTACTCCACCTGCCCCCGCGCACACCCTCCCCATGTGCCATAGTACATTTCTGCCCCTGGAATGAAGAGGCCACCTCTACCCACTCTGTAGTTTCACTCTCTCCTCATTGTCTATTTCCCTTCCGCTAATAAACAAGTTTGTTCACAACTTTTCCACTGGAGGTCCCGGTAAGGAGGATTTCAAGCTCCTTAACCTATTGTTTCTCCCTTCCTTTTAGACCCAACCAGAAGTCCTTCAGCAGCGTCTACAATACTATTTTTCCTCCCACATCTCTTGTTTACCCCCTTTTTGGGGGAAGAGTTGTGAGATGGAGTCTGGGAGTTTAAATTTTTTAATGTTATATCTTTAGTGTGACATCTACATATAGGAGAATACACATATACACTCCGTAGCCACAATCTGGATCAAGAATAAAACACTGCCGTGGCCTAAGACCTCCTATTCCACTCCCCGGAGAAGCAGTCACTTTTTATTACCTACTTTCCCTATTCACATTTCAACCTGATACAGTTTTCCATCCTCTCCCATCCCCCAAAGTATTTTCCTTATGATCCTTGATGAACCTCTGTGGTGCCAAATCTAGACTCTTAACTGCCATGCTGTGCTTATTTGATGCTGTTGCCCTCTGCCTCCTCTTTGAAACCTCTTCCTCCTTGGAATCCTTGACAGCATTTCCTCTCTAGTTTCCTTCCTGGCCTGGACTTCCCTTCCTCCACTAACTGCTTGTAAGAGTGTTGCTCAGGACTTTTCTTAATTCTCCTGTGCTCATTCTAGGTCTTTTCCTGAGCTACCTCCACCAATGCTAACAATATCAAACTCCAGACCTACAGGCCTAGTGAGGATCTTCACTTGGATGTTCTATAACAACAGAAAACTTGA